CTTCTATACTTTTTAGCACGTAGCTATTTATTATTAGCATTATTCTTCCGACGTCTGATTTCTTTTTAATTATAGGAAATGCGTTTTTCTAAAATACATAAACTTTTGGGATTGACTGTATAGCCAATACATCCTTAATCAAATTTCGGCGACGTTTCGGTTCCATTAAAGATAACGAAAGAAGCTGCTGTTGAAAAGGACTGAATAAAACCATTGAAAATGAATGATCGTTTGTTCGAATCCGCGTATCGCCTGACGAAAAACTCATCATATTTTTGATATTTATATTGTATGAAACCTTCCTATGTCCCACATTCGCGTCTTAATCCAATCGCTCTGCTCAACTAAGGGTCGAGCATGGCGAATGGGAGATAATAGGAAATTCACGAAGCGTAAAGGTAGTTCAATTCTATTTCGACGGAAGTTCCTGCTTTACAGACACGATGCTATAGTATGTCAGCTTTGGTTGTTCTTACCGGCCGACGCGACATTTAGTAACGCTCATTAGGTATGTGCTGTGTCCAGAACGCGAGCACGCGACGCGATGATCGCGTAGGTGTTCATTGCACATTTACGTTATGCGTCTTGACACATAATACGCTAACGAGATATATAGATCTTCGTGGTATGAACATCTCGTACCTGTTTTCCGACTCTCGCGATAAGTACACGTGTAGTTATTTCTTGTTACAACCGAACGAGCTATATGTAATAAGGAATTCGTGAGCGATCAGTCGTAATTCTTTGCTGCCACTGCAGCGTTGTCAACATTAATTAAAGTAGCTTGGTGCTCGGCTTATCTCCGAATGATAAAATTAATCATGTTTGCCAGAAGGTAGGCTGTCGAATCGTTACGACAGAAGGAACGACTAGACAAAAATATCTTAAGAAATTTTTTTTTTAAAAGCCGTCTTATACTCTGACATGCATATAACGTTTCTTTCTATAGATAAGAACGCTTTCAGAGGGTCACGGATTCTAAATTTAGAGCACGTGTACGTTCGATCGTACTACTTGCTCCAAAATTTAGGTAATCGGGTCTATATCCATAATCCGTCGTCAATTAAAAATAGAATCCTACTCAGCATCGACCAATTCGACTAAACAATGTATATTAATCAAAGCGTGAACGCAAAGAAATTGACTCATTTTATAGTTAATTCATTGTCACTTATTCCAATTAGCACTTAATTCGATATAAATGTTGGCAGCTTGTATAACATTATTAGACAATTCAGAGCAATGACAAGAATTCAGCAAGAAATATGTTCAAGGAAAACCGATGGCTCTTACGTCATTTTTATTACCTGGTTACACCGGAAATAGTGTAGATAACTTAAAAACGGCTTAATAACGGATTGTATTATTTTTTTTTAATTTACTCATGCTCTTCCAACGCGTTCACACGTGTATCTACATCGAAACGAATAAATATAGGAGACCATTCTATCGAGATAACGAGATGGAGGAAGAAAGGGTCGAATCATAGATCGTAAAGAGTTGCCGAGGTCAGGAACTTGGGGTGAAGCCTACGTATCAGCTCATTTCCTCAATATCTAGAGAAAAGTTTCTGCCCCATTCGTTGAATAGCTTTAGCATATCCTAGCGAGCTGATCGGGCTGTCTGCTTGGCTTTAGTTGGGTGACTGCTTGTTGCCCGACGACTGCTTGGCTGGCTGGCTGCTAACCGGCTCCGGGTCTCGTCGTCCCGTCTCGTTCAGTCGCCGCTCCGACATCCTGCTCGCAACACGTCCGCGGCCGGTGCCAGCACCGGGGCCTCCGTGCTCTTCCACGTTTCTTTCATCATCCCTGCGTTTACGGTTTCTGTCATGCCCCGGCGGATGCTGCGAAGCCGTAAAGCGGCTTTTTTCGGCGCCAACTAGACCCACGTGCACATGCCGCAGGGGCCAGAGGGAGAAACCGGAGAACAGTAAGTTGTTCAAGAAATAAGAGGCACTTTCGCGTGATGTTCAGTGAGTGCTGATAAATATCTTATCGTGAACACTATCGGTGGATTATGACCGATCGATCGGTGAAGAATCGAACGAGGTGCCGCGTCGTGCGGAACAATCGGAGTTCTTCAGTGGAATAGTGAGTGTGGGAAAGTCTCGTGAGCAGATCAAGTAGCAAAAGTAGTTCATAGTTATAATCAAACATGGAATTATAATCCTCGGATAAAATTTTTAATTTCCCTTCCGGTTTCGCTTACGCAAGTGCTTCCGCATTTAATAAATTAAGCCTCGATTACAAACGCTATTTGTTTGGATCCACCGTCGTTTAATGAGAGTGTTCACCCATGAATCGTGATCGTTCCATCAGGCCGTAAGCCTTTCGTTATTACCGTGCTATCGAACTCGAAAAGTCGATGACTCGTCGCTGATTCTACCGGTTGATTGAACAAACCGCTTATTTTCAATTCGAGTCACGACTACGACAAATCTAGTCGTCTAACGTGTCTTTGCACCGGTCATCTGCTACAACCGCGGCTCGATGTCTGTGGGAACAATTAGCGGGGGCCCTCGTTCCCCGTAACAGCTTCTAATAGTTATGTCTGCTGGTCAGGTCAGTCTTTCGAAGATACTAATACGCGCGGACAATAACGAGAACGCGACGGTAATGCATTTCCAGCCAGCGACCCCTTTGTCCCGGGTCATTTCGAAATGCATGCAAGCCTGTCACGCAAATAAAAATTAAATTAACGAGGGAGTCTTCGTTCCTCGATATTCTACTGGAGTATAGTTTATCTCTACTATCGCTTAAGAATTTCCATTAGAAAGATTCCTATGTCTTCAATGATAAATCTTCTAAATGTCATACCCGAATATCTTACCGCAACGAAAAGATAATATTAAAGTGAGAATAGAGCACATACATTAATATTTTATCTTTCTGTGGACTAACGACTTTCGACGAACAAACCTCGTTTTCGTCTCATTGTCGCTGGCTCATCCTTCGCTTCTTCACTGTAATCAACTAGAAGTTGTAGAGCCTATAGTAGGAACTAGCGGAGATCTGGAGCCGACTTTCGGCGTAAACCGGTTCTCCTGCCTTTCGTACGTTCCCGTTCGTGCACGTCACTTCGAATCGTATCCTTTAACGGGACGAATACCGGGATTTCGTCGATTCGCCGATTCATCTGTGTAATCACGATTGTCAACACCTCTTACCATCGCGTACCTATCGATTCCGGGAAGCGTAACGGTATCGAAATGAATTCTTTTCGATACCTCCCGGCTTCTCTTTTTTATCCATGAAAACGTGAGACTAGGAGGAAAAAGTGCGACGAAATTATCGCACCTTTGCTCAACTCCTTGGCGCTTCAAATTATTTGAAGTAATCTCCGTTCCAAACTGATAAGATTAAGACTGCGCGTGCGAATGTTCAATTTACACGTTGCTTCTCAGCGAACACTTTTATACCAGCGAAGACAATTTGCATTAACTGCGGTTTTTAACGGGAATCCATTTTCCTCCTTTCTTAACCAGAAGAAGCAGAAAAAGATTGTGAGAACGGAAACGGATTGTGCGTATAACGACTGGAAACAATCCATAACCATCAACGATTTACCATTTAATGAAATAATTCACAGATAACGAGAAGATCTTCTCTGTTTAATGAAACGTCGCTACCACTTGTAGAGTTTTCGAATTCTTCTAAGTATTGTTTTTTAAACATCAGCAATTCGTTTTATATTTCACTTTCGTTGGTTCAATGCGAACGGGAGATGTCACGGCACAGAATTCAATAACCGCCCGCATTCGAATATGTATATCAGCATGCCTGAAACCGGTTTCGCCAAGGGACAATTCTCTATCTACGCTGATTTGTGGAATAGATCTTAACTGACCATCCTGGAGACGATTCCAGAGACGTTTGTTTCTACGAGTATCCTTAGAGATTAATATCAAGCATGTTTTAGTGGAATCCCTGTGAGATTCTCGCACACTAAACGCACAGGCATTTTAACGGTACTCTTCAAAAAATTAAAAGATTTACATCGGGAATTCAAAGCACGTAGGAGTAATGGACAAAAGCCTTTAGAATGCACACTTTTGAATATTTCCTACTAAAAATAACTGAGCTGCTAAGTCAATTGATCATCTTGTAACGGTGAGACGTAGTGTTCAGTTTTCATGGCTAGACACACTATTATGCTCTTTAGAGCCTGCAGGGTTCTCTAGCGATACAGTGCCAGCTCTGTTCGCCTTCTTATCATCATGCCCATGACACTGCACAAAATGGCAATTGTACGAAAAAATCGTAGAGCCCTCAGGCCGAATAATCTCGATTGATCGCAGCAATCAAATCTTCTCGATCGAAAGCCAGCGATGGAATTTGTCAGAACAAATATAATCAATCGACTTGATGAGCATTTTAATCAGCCGTCAAGGACGATACATAATTGGGTCGTACACCGTTTAAACGATAGATGAACACGAATTACCTATTAACTTCGGAATTAAATCGTTGCGAAGTATTTAATAAAACAAAAGATAGCAGCGATTAAAGAAAACCAGACATTAATTGCTGACGTAAAGGTCAGAGTCATAGTCTTTATTATCAGCACGTGTGCAGCCTTAATCAGATGTACAGATTGTATCGATTCCGTTTCATGAATCATCGGCCTTAATACGATGTAATTTTTATCAAGTAGCGAAGTCCCTCGTTTTTTTTTCAGATCGACGTGAAACGATCGAGTCATGCCGGTTACTTCTGGATCGTCCACGATTTTCGGAAATACGCAATCTTGAGCGTCGATAAAACCGCTCTATGTAAGTAGTCGCTGTTTTATGAGCGAATTACACGATTACGATGTCTTTAGAGATACCATATCATAGATATAGGTAATCGGTTTCCTTATTTTGGTTTCCTTCTCTCCTCAATTCGCGTTTATTAGCTTCCCCGAGGCTAGCGTAAAAATAAATGGCTGACCAAACAATGAACGTTTTTGTAGCCTCAGCGAGTACGACGAAAGGTACACAGTTAAAGTTTGTTCTTCAAATGGCAAACAAACGTGTGCCGAGGTCCAGTAGATATGAAAATAATCACTTCTGAAATTTCGAACACTAATCATTATTTCGATATTCAATCCGTTTCAAACCGAAAAAAGACGTCTATTCTCTGTTTGGACTTCGGAACGCTGAGTAGTGTTTATTCTAATAAAGATTACGAAACCTTGCCCGACAGGTTTAAGAGCCAGTGCTCAGTGCCAAAAAGAAGAAGCAATGGGATCGTACGAAGAACCACCGGCGATTAGAGTAATTAGAACAGTGATATCATCGAGGAAGACAATAACGGACGTTAGAAAGATGACGATGAACCCAGCCGGAGGTCCAGGGACCCCGGAAGAGTATCAATGGAAGAGGTGACGTTTCACCCAGTGATGCGTAAACGACGTGGACTGGCCAGCGCCATTCTCGGCCTGACAGTGGGCCTACTCCTAGGTTTTCTTATCCAAAGCTACAAAATACTCTCATCGAACAACAATCAGCGACTCAATATTTATACGCCGTCCCCGATGCTCGGATCACGAGTGTTAGTCAAACCGTCAGCGCGCAATGTTCCCAAATTGAACGACGATGAACAGATAAACAGTTCCTCGACCAGTCTGGTCTTCGTAGGCGTTATGACGGCTAGCAAGTATCTAGACTCGCGGGCCAAGGCGGTGTATGAAACTTGGGGCAGAGAACTACCGGGCAAGATCGCCTTCTTCTCCTCCGAAAGCTCGATCGTCCCGGAGAACTGTCCCGATCTACCACTGGTGCCACTGCCGCGGGTCGATGACACCTATCCGCCTCAGAAGAAGTCGTTCATGATGCTGCAGTACATGTGGAACAATTACGGAGACCGTTTCGAGTGGTTCCTCAGGGCTGACGATGACGTTTACGTGAGAACGGATCGTTTAGAGAAATTACTACGATCCGTTGACTCCAGAAGAGCCATGTACATAGGACAAGCAGGCAGAGGGAACTCCGAGGAATTCGGTCTGCTATCCTTGGAGTATGACGAGAACTTTTGTATGGGTGGACCAGGCGTTATTTTGTCTAGGGAGACGCTCAGGAGGATCGTGCCGCACATTAAGTATTGCTTGAGACACTTGTACACCACGCATGAAGACGTGGAATTAGGGAGATGCGTGCAGAAATATGCCGGGATTCCTTGCACATGGAGTTACGAGGTAAATTCCTTTGTTCCCATTTTATTTGCTTGTTAGTATATCTATTATTAAGATTTCATTCTTCCTGTGTATATGTTTCTACGCGTGGCCTGATCCCTTTGCGCGTCTCGCTATCGTTCACATATCTATTAAATCTATTTTCAGTCGTCCTCCTTTCTTCTCTCTCCTGATACACACATTGTCACAACTGTGAACCTACGTGGCACGTGCAATTTGTTCATCGACACAGGCTCACGGTTGATTAGAACGTCAACTTATCTCATAGAATCTAATTTGTGCGTTTTAATACTTCAATCAAATATTACCTTTTCCTGAAAGATAAAGTATTCGTGATTCTTGACTCGTTGGTACTTGAGTGACTTAGTGGAAAAGTGCTATAAGTGCTTCTTTTTCTCAAGGGCACGATAAGTAAGTATATCGAGAAAAATTGTTCAAGTGTCGCTATTAATAACGCGCACAGTAATATATTTTAGTACTTCGAAGCACAAACGTTTTTCCATAAAATATTAACATTTCATTTACATTAAATGCGTTTTGATACTCGTGTTATCTATTTAATTTCTCATTTGATATTTCGATTAGTATAATACTCGCAAAGTCGAGATAGGATCTGCATAATATGTATAATATTATCGGTTTAAATACATAAGCTACGCATCTGCATCATATACAGGGTAGGCTATCATTGGGTTAACTCGGAAGGTACAATGCACAGATGAGGATGTTAGTCGTTAAGTACAAGCGAATAGTACCCTGCTAACCCAGTGGCCAGATCGAGTCATTCTCCTCCATCTTGACACTCGACATTAGGTCGAAGTGCTTAAGTAACAATTTGCAGTACGAAGCGCTTAAATCCCTCATCGCGGTTCTTGCAGATAATTTAATCGATCCGCACGGTTACGTTCACGGTTGCACGACGTTACGCGAATTATGTCACGCTATTAGTGGCAGCATTGAACGAAACACGATCCTATAAAATATTCTTCTTTTTTAATTACGTCTGTGCTTGTCGCATTAAGGGGAAAGGTTACTCGGGATTGAGGAAGTTTCAATAAAAAGATGTGCAAAAAAAGGTGGACTTTCATATTTGTCTCTGTCATTTACTGTTAAATTCAAAGTTCACGTCGATACGAAATATTTAAAAAACTGTCAATGTGATCGTTTCTCGAATTTCAATGTTATTTCTCAACGTTACGAAACATTCAGATTTCAAAAGAAACGAGCTAAATGAAAAGGTGAAATACATGGATGAGGATGTTGGTCGTTAGATTCGAACAAATCGTAGCTTGCTAGCCTGCTGGTACGCCGTTCGTTTCCGTCTTGACGATCGTCGTAAGGTCGAAACACTTAATAGCCGTACGCGCGACATTGCAATAACTACGAAGTGTTGTGCTTGCGGTCTTTTTACGCGCTCCTTTTGTCAACCGAGGCAATAAATAAAGGATTTACGATCCTAATGTTCACTCATGACGTAACCAATGACATCATTTCTTTCTACGTACTTCGACGTTTCAATTGTATCTCTATAGCAGAATCCGCGAATTACAAAAGACAACGTTAAAGCAAATGGTGTTAGAACACGATCAAATCAACCCGAGAGGTGTAACACTAGAATAATTCCTTGTAACAGGATACCACCACACCCAGTCTTAATACTTGTTCTACGACTGCGACAAGATGCAGTTTCGTATTCTCGATGGTAATTATCATCGGCCAGTGCGCCAATAGGCAGCTCATTTAAATATTCACGTAGTCCCAGCTTCTTTGACTTTTGTCATCTTTTCTTAAGAAAAATCTCTTCTTCGAGATTCGGATTATCGGGAAGCTAAATGACCCCATGTCTTTCGAAATATGCGTGACGGCGACTACCATCTATTTCTGTCACTTTAATCTTAATTGCAGCCGGCGATACGGGATGCTTTCACTGTTACAGATGCAGTCCATTCTGTATCATAACAGTAGCGGCGCGCAGGCGTTCACCGGAAACTTGAAGAAAAAAGAAGTTCACCGTGCTATTACTTTGCATCCTGTTAAGAGCCCGCCGCACATGTACAGGTTGCACAATTACATGCGGGTTGGTATTGACTCGCGTGATGTTACCGGGTTATCCATTTTCCCTCCGGATGTGCAAAGACGACTGTGTATTTCCGTTTCAGGGACTTCGGATTCAGGAGCTGCAACAGGAGAGGCTTAATCTTCACAGAGATATTTACACGATGGCGAAGCAGTTGGGAATAGCCGTGGAGAACCTAAAGAATTTCAAAATAGCCGACGGCGTCCCTTTGTTTCCCATCAGTTCAATCTCGAAGGAGTATCCTGGCGACACGGAAATATTAGGTAAGACTACTGTGGCCAATTTCAAGGTGAACGCTTACAGCAGCAGTTCGCTTGAAGAATGTGGGCAGTTAGTTAAGTGATCTAATTAGATTAAAGTTCGTCGCGACCTTACGGGAACATTGGGTATATCTCGAATCATTTGTTTCAAGAACAGTTTCCCTAGATATGCATTGCTAATAGAACCATTTAGACCGATTAACTGGTGCGAATTGATCATCGCATGATCGGGCAAACGTGGCGGTGTAGAAACGAGGTACCGCACGATTCGTTTGAGCCCATCAGACGTAACGATCAGGATTTCGATCATGATTCTACTCATTTCCATCTTCTGCACTTACTGCAGTATGCGAATGTATTCATGCTATGTATAAAGTGGTCAGATTTTCACATCCGCGCACACTGTACGACGATAGATAGTACTGATGGAACGAGAAATTGCATTATAAAATTATTATTCTCTGTATTCATAAAACCCTAGTATAATTGAAAGATAGGAATATGTATAAAAAAAATTAAATTCATCTTCTCGTTTCAATCAGGTGTTCCGGCGGGACTTCGCTCGTTTGAGCCCACAACCGGTGACGAGGTGATTCCCTGGGACTTTTTATCAAGATCCGAATACAGCCTGAGTGATTCTAATCCCAGGAGAAGAATTCACAGTGACATAAAAGAAGGTTTGGAAGACATTACGAGAGAAGTAATGGCGTCTATAAATGCCTGCTCGCGGCAGCGTGGTCGTATCGTCGAGGAAAGGTCAACCCTGTACGGTTACCGCCGAGTGGATTCCTATGGTGCGGACACGATACTAGATCTTCTTTTGGTCTACCGGAAATACAGGGGTAGAAAGGTTACGCTACCCGTCAGGAGACACGTATATCTCCATCAACATTTCACAGGTACCATTTATGTTTCGTTCAATATTATTTCTATCTGCGGTGTCGAAAGACATCTTTTGAAATTTTCGCTTACAATTATCGTCATTAGTCCAATCGTTTTTCCTCATCTCAATTTTTTAATTTTCATATAATGGTTGTAAAATTTAATTAATTACTTGGTTGTCCTAATGGTTTATTATAGAAAAAATTTAATTGACGGAAAACCATTAAACTAATGATGATCATTTTAAGCGAACATTTCAAAAGGTGTCTTTCAGTACCGTAGGTAGAAAACATTTTCTGCGTCCGCGAAAAACGATCGAACGGAATGAAACGCGACGTGAATGCAGCGAGGCAACACTTCGAAACGAGTAAAAACGGTGTTTGTTCGTAGGACTGGAAATACGAGAAACCGTGGATGGAGAAGAAATCGACGAGACTCTGAGAAATCAACGGAACAATAAATCCTTGCAAAATATATTCCGCGGTGGTCTTCTGAACTTGAGTTTCAACTCCGAAGAGAAAGATCCTGTTAAGAGCAAGACCATCCATTTCATTCTTCCTTTGTCCGGAAAGTACGAAGTTTTCCAAAGGTTCTTACAAAACTACGAAGAGATATGCTTAGCGGGCGGAGAAAAGACTTCGCTCTTGGTCGTTCTCTATCCTCATAGAACGGAACAGAACTCGTTTAATCGAACGATAGATCTGATAGAACAATTGAAGTATAAATATCGCAGCGCTGACATCAATGTTATTCCTATTTCCGGGACGTTTTCAAGAGCCAAGGCTCTCGATTTTGGTGTGTCGACGTTGAACGATGGCGATTTAATGTTCTTCGTCGACGTTGACATCGTATTTCTCGAGTCTGCTCTCTACAGAATTCGCGCTAATACTCTTCTAGGCAGGCAAATATATTTCCCAGTGGTGTTCAGTCAATACGATCCGAAGCTCGTACAGAATGCCGTCGGAGAACAGGATGCGTTCATCATAAACGAAAAAACTGGATACTGGAGGCAATTCGGGTTCGGTATCGTCTCTCTGTACAAGCAGGATTACAAAAGCGTGGGCGGTTTCGATTTGCTTATTCAAGGATGGGGCAAGGAAGACGTGGATTTCTACGAGAAGGTGATCAAGTCCAACGTAAGGATCTTCAGAGCGGCCGACAAGAATTTGATTCACGTTTATCACGACGTCGAGTGCAGCAGGGATCTCTCGAGGACGCAGTGGTCTATGTGCATGGGGACGAAGGCTGACACTTATGCGAGCATAGAGACACTGTCTAATATGATTTACGAGAATCCCGCGATATTGGAGTTTGCCAAAGCTAGGAGAGCGAACTTGACGAGCGCAGCTGGTTGAACTCGTGTCAAACTATTAAAAATGATTACCGTGTCCTAATTGTTAAGATATAAATTACGATTGAAATTAAGTGATGCCAGAATGTTTTGTAATTACAATATTTTGTAAATAGTACGTGGCGTAATTGTGATTTTTCCTATGCGAAAGTCTGAACCGGATGATATTTAAATGTCGATCGTGAATTCACCAAAGTTTTTGCTCCAATAGGATTAATACGATGTTCACGTTTACGTTCCAAGTTAACTAGCATCGGTGAAACAGAATGCAAACGAAAGATTTAATTTAATGAAGAGAATATTCAATACATGACTGTATACATAAAGAAATATATTAAATTTTTATGATAAATAGAAAAATTGCCATTGTTGTACGAAGTTAAACGATCGCGTTGACACTTTGTACATTAAGTAGACAAACATTAATAAGACAAACTTTGGCATTATTTATATTATAAATGTGATGTATTGCTTTTGATTAATGTTAATGTATATCTATTTTTTTTATAAATCGATACTGTAATTTAGAAGTATATTTGTTTCCCTCGTAACGTGACTGCGAGCCTACATAAAAGTAACCTGACGGAAAGAGGGACTTCGTAAGTAACTTAAGACGCTTTAAAACATAAATACTCCTAAGAACATAGCTTACAGTTGATTGAATTCTATAAGTAAATGTGATATTATCGTGCCTTGTCTATAGATCCCCATTTGTGTATTTGTGTACTGCCTATTTAATTGTACCTACGTCACGATCAATCATAACTGTCTAGGAATACAAGTTCTGCATTACTTGCATAATTGTTTATGCAGTTCGCTACAGAATGCTTCGCCAACACTTCATCGAATTCCAAATAAAATTCTCTATTAAATAATTATGTTCTACCAATCGCTTTATTTTCGTCAAACGTACTTCTCCTATTCCTATTACTTCAGTGTCGAAAGTAAATAGTAGCTGAACCTGAATTAATTACTATATCTTTAATGCCAATATCATCTTATTTTACTCCGTGGAAGAAACTATGAGACGTTCACATATTTTCCAGTTAGAAAGTGCCTTTAGCTTATACGGTTCCACTCAAGGTTCTTTTCGGGATCATGATGAAATCTACCAATTAGTCGGACATTGCAATTAACCGATATCCTATGAATCTCCTCTTCACATCGCTTTAACTGAACGCCCTTTTTAGGAAACTCCCTTCTAAATTAAAATTAAATTAAATCAGCAGCGGTCGATGTCTACAATAAAACACATAAAAAATATATACGGTAAATTTTATATATATATATATTTAATGTATTCAAATACTTATTGCCAACTCTTTTTATATGTTCAAATAAAGAACAATCAGCATTCTATCTCTTTCTCTTTTCTACGTACAAAAACAAAGAAAATAAACGCCATCGTGTCGAAAACAATGCGCCTCTGCCAGACAAGAAGTATCGAATCCAAAAAGTTTTCTACAGTTATTTTCCTACGCGTAAAGAAAATCTGTTGTCTTCGATCTTATCATCTCTTACCGAGAAACGATTCTAGCCAGTATCATCAACAACATCAGCGACATAGCTAATCTCACGATGTTTCTGATTAGAAAAGCTATTTAAAGCAGAAGAAGACGAAGGGATCGACGCGTAAGTCGGTGTTTGTCGAAAGAGGAGAGGCGCCGACTGCCAGACTTCCCTTCCATCCACACTCACACGCTTAGAAAATTATAATTTATCGGCCAAGGTTAAGGTCGTCGCATATCGTTCGCCACAACCGGTGAAGCTCGTCAGTTGGCGTCGATCCCCGTCGTGTGCGATTGTTTGCATCGACTAGTTTAGCGTACATAGTGTCGTTCAATTCGATTGATAAGTCGAGGATCATCGGGTGCAGCAATGTTGCGGAAGATCGGACAGTGCTTGATTCTGGCGCTCCTGATTGTTCTGATAGCTGACCAGGTCCAAGGAAAGATCCTAGCGAAATGCGACGCCGTGAAGGAACTTGATAAGGCCAAAGTACCCAGGAGTATGATCAGCAATTGGATTTGCCTGATGCAGAGCGAGAGCAAGATGAACACGTCGTTGATCACCGGTCCTAAGACGGCTTCCAGTTACAGTTATGGAATCTTCCAGATAAACAGCTTGAAGTATTGCTCCAGAGGACACAGCGGCGGTCTGTGCAACAAACGTTGCGAGGATTTCGCGAACGATGATATTCAGGACGATATCCAATGCGCCGTGAAGATCATGAACGTGGACGGTCTCAAAGCGTGGAGCGGTTGGATGAAGGACTGCAAGAACAAGCCATTGCCAAGCTACGCTGACTGTAAATTACAATCGTTAGTGAACAAATTGGAGGAGCCTCGTGAATCAGTATAACGATAAGAATAATGACTGTCGTTACTCATCGCGTGGTTCACGAAATTCCTTACCCATTCTGTTATGGTTACTTAACTTACTTTATACTCAATACGATACAAGACTTATTTTTGTTGACTGATATTAGTTAACGATAGGTTGCGATATTGTCGATGAAAGAATGAAATTTTACGATGACCTGAGGATATGATACGACGTTTGTAAATGAGATCAAAGTTCACGCGAATGCGACGTATAATCGGTTCGTCGAATAAAAGATTGTTCACCTTTTTCTATATGTATCTGAGCATGTATTGTGAGCGAGAAATATACATTTCTGTATTAATCATATATTATGTCATTATTTTATACGTATTAATAGAACGTTAGATTAGGTATCAATTATTTCTTTGATAAGTACATTTAGGACATAAAAATTATGTTCGGTCTCGCGAATCGTCTGCCGCGTTTTATTTCCTCAAGTGTTACAAGTAATTAATGCTATCTGGAATATTTTTATCAGTGAATTCTTCGAACTCGATGCGATTAGATAAAATAACACCGAGTTTGCAGAAACACGATTCGCGGTTTTATTATCCGAAATTATGTAACACGCTGCGATGATAGACACAACTTAGCTATCATTGCTGCACTTAATACATATCTATGGATAAACAACAGCTATTTGAAAGCAGGAAAAACCACACTCTTGATATATAATCCCTCGCACGGCGCTGGTGAACAAAATTACACAATGGACGGTAAGACGTCTCCAAAATATGATTATAAATCGAGTGGAACTGGGCCAATAATGATGCAAGAAATCGGTATAATCTTTAAACGCGCCGCTCCACTTGGCAGTCCGAATCGAAAAACGAAATAAAATGGTTTAGAAATTTCAACTATTAGAATTACAAAGCGCATCGTGACCCGACTGCACAAGTTCCTTTACCGATTTCGTTTTCTGTAAGTACGAGGAAAAGTATCACGATAATATCTCTTTCAAAAATCATTTTTATTCCAAGCAAGCCTAAACAATGATGTTTAACGCCATATCAATGACACTTCGTTACACAAAATTTTAACACTTTCGAACTTTGACACTATAAATAATTCACCGGGCATTCGATGTCTTAGACAAAAATTGTATTGATTCAATGGACGTTGTCTGACTGAAATATCTTTTTACTGTCAATCTAATTATGACAGAAATAGATATTGTGATATGAACATTGTTTGTGTATACTAATCACGCATGGTGGAAAAATGTGTGACTGTAATACTATTTCGAGAAATGTTTCGGCATAATCGAATTGGAAGTTCGCGCGAGTCAAGGATACTTATCCGAAGCGATTGAGTTTCGGATAGAGTATCGTAAAAGATTGGTAATCATCGAGGTTACTGACTATAAAAATATCTGAATTGCGTAATAATGGCGTTGGTGGAAATGTCAAGTACAAATACGTTGTTTGTTGATATCGCGGGCCAAAACCTGTTGTTATTATTCGGCAAAGAAAAAGAAAACGCGCTTTCTTGGATGATGCTTCTCGCTCGTCTTTCCGCGTTTCTCTTTTTCTCCTTAAAATCGATCGTTGCCTCACGTTCGAACGTTTATGCTTACGCGAAACGCCTAGGAAAAGCGATAGCCAACTGAGTAAACGATTACGCAACGAAATCGTCAACGAGAGAAAGATTCTCCATTTGCTTGAATATAAACCAGAATTTGGAGAATTCTAATCTTCTGTATACTCTATTTTAATCGACAGTTCGCATTGACGTAACGAAATAAAAATCAAATTCAAGGAGCAATACGCCATTACGCAACCGAACGTTCCCATGGCTCTGACCGATCTAATCGATCTGATCAATGCGGTCTTAACGGAATTGATTTCGCGCGAAGTTAAATGATAGGATACGCAGAGAAATCGCAATCCTTCTCGGTAGACACCCGTTAGAATATCAATCAGAGTGATGCGTCGATCCGCGTCTGCCTTTCCAGGCAAACGCCGCTGGTTACTGACGGAGAGGAGGCATGCTTACTTGGCTAGTCCGATGCGCACACGGGGATGCACGTAGGTGCACGTAAGCGCATTTTACCGTAGACGATGCCGCGCGCCGTGCCGAAGTGAGTGTGCATGCACCTTTCACTAGCGGAAGTGAACGACTGAGATAAACGCGTGAGAGCGACCCGGGTCGTCATTACTTCTCCTATGGCCAGTAGCTATCGTAAGGGTCGATCAATTATTATCGCAAGCCACGGGACACACGATAATCCATCATGCACGATTTAGCCGTATAATTTAAGATAATTATCGAATCGTCCGCGAGTCGTGTCATTAAATTTGTATACGTAATCCGTCTCATGCTAATATAGGTAGTTTCGAATGAATAATTCGATTAATGAGTTATTATAAGACGCAAGTACCTTAGAACCTTAGATACGAGCTTACGTAAGCAGCGGATGTGGAGGTATCTGAAAGTTATCAAGCGAAGACGTTAGTAATTACGGAAGATTTGATTTGTTGATAAGATCGTTGATAAATGCAATAAAAATCGGGATCCGCGTAGAGATAATCGTGAGAAGCTATGGATACTATTGGAGTGGTAAATCATGTAACGTTCGTAGGAGACCGGCGGCGCGGCGCCGCGCCGTGTCATAAATGTACGTATAATAAACTTCCACGTGTCACATTTTGTTGCTGAATTGCCGTTGAATGAAACGGTACACGTTTCAGGAATAGTAAATAGCTTTCTGTTAGAATTTAACGGGTTGCTTTCTTGAATGAAGCTTGTTCAGAAGTTAGACGAGTCGTAGAGAGGTCGGAACTAAACAAGAATTCAAAATTTTACTTTCATATTTCTACATGGAATACGGAAACGTGGTTACCTAAATTTAATCGCACAAACCACGACATCTTAATAGAAAGAATTTAACCTTCCCTTCTGGTACGAGAGACTACTATATAGTTACAAATGTCGTTTGTTCCACAATGCAACACGTTCCAATTACCACGATGAATCTCAATCGATAGCTTGTGTGAGCCTCGTGTTTCCGTGAACCGAACAATTTCCGATGCTTCGCACGGAACACGGGGTCGAGCGTGGGTTCTCAGGGCGCAGCCGGTTCTCCATAGGAAAGAAGGAAGTACTCGCGGATCGATCTTGGAATAAACGAGCCGGAGTAACGGTGAACCAGGTGCGCAAGACACAAGCGTGCCGGTGAAACTCGAACGTAGTTTAAGCGACCTCTGCAAAGGTCGCACCACCGCGGGCTCCTCGAAGAAAGTGATCCGAAAAGTAACAGGCAGAAGCGGCACGGTAATGTAATTGCTACTTCTAACTTGGATCTCTAACGTCTATTTTTTGCGGCCGTCATTGGAGATCATCCTCCAAGATCTCTTCCTATTCGTCATTACCGGCGATCGTTTCATCTGTTCAGAATTGCAGATCCGCGGTATATTACTTCCCCATCGGAGCTCGCTAATTAACAATTGTTAATCGAACTATTGAGAGCGAGTTTCGTAATTATATTTACGTAAATCAGAGTGAGAAAAATGTATCAAGCTGTCTGGAGATTACGTGACGAGTGGTAAAAGTATAGCGGCGGGAAAAAGAAGATGGGCAAAGGAAGCATTTTAATGGACGTTACGACCGCGCCACTGCCGCGCCGTGCCAAATAAGTGTTTTGAGCCGGAAAGGAAAGCGGCGAGATTAAAACGGTGCCAAGCTGATTAGAAAGAAGCGAAAGGAGAGAAACAACAAACTCCTATGTACGTGCTTAACGCTCGTCAACAATAATGGATTTCTTAATTTCGCGAAACAGTGCCAAAAACTGCGCGAAATTAGCAGCGTCGTGCGATCCGCGGTTTAAATGTCAAGCTGCCAATGAATAGTTTTAGATATTTTTTCAATTCCCTTTCTAGTTTCGTCACTCTTTTGTCACAAGTTACTTAAGAATTATCAATGGGTCGTAGTCTTATGTAATCGTATAACTTTTGCACCATTAACGGTAAACTGGAGAAAACTTGAAGAAAATCAGTCTTTCGATAATTGTTGCTGTTCTCGTCGTTGTTAATGGAACGATTAAGAAAAGAATTTGTAACGAGATTCCACGTATGTTATTAAACGGTAGTAACCCGTGACGGGTGTTCAAAAAATAGATAGGTTTGCGTTCTAACTCATCTCGCCCCGTATAAACCAACCGGAAGCGTTTCTCCAGTTTTCACATACCACAGTGATAATTACGTACATGGGAAGATGTTCATGACGCTCTTCTAGGACGTCTCTGGCTATAGTATTACCGGTTCTTGCTGGCAAATACACGCTGTCACCGACTATTAGTGTTTTCCTTGCACATCTCGACTGTGCGCACTCAGTAGTTCACATCTTCGACTTGAATTATTTATAATCTTGTTTATGTAAATAAATAAATAAATTTATTAATTGATTAATTTTAATGATAAAATGAAAAAATTAATTTTATATTAGCGTGCCATTAGAATCTATTTCAAATCAAATTAAATAATTTTCATTTTCATGTTATAAGAACTTATTTTTTTCGTTGCATCGAGGACACTCTTATCGCGTTTACTTTTGACGCGAGGAAAAGTTGTAGGATTATTGTTAAAATGTGTGTCGTGCGTTGGCCTTCCGTAGCTGACTTCTGTAATAAAGACAACGAACGTTTCGTTTTTATTATTTCGATAAACATCGCACGACGTGTGAGCCGAGATACGTCGACGAGATCTCTCATTAACGTGGTTACAGATTCAACCGTGTTTTCTGCTCTCACAGTGATAAGTTCTACCCACTTGTACCAATTTCTCAGCGATGAGATCATTTTATATCTTTGCTTAATTTCGCCATTCCTGATTACCTGAGAACGAATCAGGCCCATTAGCTAGTCTATCGCTTTCGTCATCGATATCCTCAATTGCAACCGGCAGAGTAAATCATTGAAGTAAATGCTTTCATCGAACGCAATCGATCAAATTTCATGCCTTCTCAGTAAAAACATGATCTGCGTATAGGTATAGATACTTCGGATTTTCTTTCTTCATACGCAGTCCAGTTTTGGAGGTGTAAATATAATTTGAAACAATCTGTATTATGAGAGGTGACGGGAAAGGAAGCATCCTTTCTTGTGCAACGACTAAACGCAGGCTTGCTCCGTTTCCCGTAAGCAATTTTGCGTAATCGTACTACTTGCCTTAGTTACCAGTACATCGCTAACGAGTAACTCCACCGTGTTGCCACAGATCTATCTTTCTTTCATAGCCGCTCCCTCGAACGTACGTATCACTTAATCTGAAAATTCTCTCGAGTTTTCTATAATTTTAAAAACCGCAGTTGACCCGAATCGCATTCTACGTGGTGACGAGCTATTCATACACATTTTATGGATTATTACGAATTCGCAGAGACGTTTAAATATGCATATTGCAACCATAGCCTGCAAAGTGAAATATTATTCATGGGAATACAGTAAACATTTACTTGGCTCAAACATTCTCATTAGCATGCTAATGTGTCAAGTATCCCATTGACGTTACTCCGGTCTATTGTACAGTAAATTCATGACTTTTTACTATGCCAACGGGTCACCGCGCGGCTCGATGACGAGTCGTACCATCGAATTAGGCCTCGACTTGGCTTAGGAACGAATGTCAGATTCTTAACAATGCACCAAATTTTGTCTGGAGCACCATTGTAAAAATATTTTCCCCTTCACCTTTCACTTGGACTTAAGCCTTTCACCTCACGGGATTACACACAATTTCGTTACGGTGTTAAACTTTTTTCTCGCGAGATTTCCGCGCGCATCCTCTCCGATCGTAAGAACCCATTCTCTGAATCTAAATAAAGCGGCGGGGAACGGATCACGGATATTAAATATATCGTGTTCTTTAAATAGATGAAGGATCGACCTCATTAAAATTCATAGGAGTGAAACACTTTTATCGCACGGGTATCCGGAATATTTGATTACGTGACCCAACAGATTTATGATTTTTTCAAAATTATTTCGGAATGGAATCCAAATAGTGAACACTTTCTTTTTTCTTACGCGGGAGAGTTCAGAATTTTTAATGTCAATCTTTAAAAGCATATAAAAGACCGTGAAAGTATGCTGCGTCCATAACATCACTTGCGCCACAAATGCTTGCTTAATTACCTAAATAAACGGCTAATCAAGACACTGTTCAAGACTCTTTCCTTCATACATCGTAGATGCTTTTACATTGGAACTACTTCTATATTGAAATAATGAACCACGGAACGGACACCCAGCGTTTTAGATAGACATTTTAAACGCATCAAACGCGTGGAATGACGATCGGAATCTTTTCTCTTTTTAAACATGCCAATCGATTCATAGAAACGATCACGATCGATGCGACTCGTCGAGATGGGGCAAAAACGAGGCGAACTAAACTCCTCGAAGAGGAAGAGGACCATTCTCGAGAGAAGCTCTGACGCCTGAGCGAAAGTCAAGCCCGGGGCTCACGGATTCCCCTTCTTTCCTACGACCCTGCAACATTAATATCCGAGAAACTCGGATACAGTACACAGCGAGACGTGACTCGAGGGATCGAAAATATTACGAGTCATTGGGATCGACAAGCGACGATGAATCCCGCTAACCATAAAGGAAATCGAAATTTTTGCATTCAATCTCCGGTCGACACTCTTGCTCGAAGATATTATACCGTGTGAATGCATTTCTCTCTGCCTTTACATGATACGTTTTTCGATGCGTTCTCCTTTTCCTCGTATGAAATCACTTTAGATAACTTTTATTATGCTATATTCATAATAATCCGTGATTCGTATGAAGTATGGAAAAAATTTGAAAAGCTGGATGAAGTACGATAAGCACAAACCTTGGTCCATGTATTTTTATAATGAAAAGCGAGGGACCGGATTCGCTCCACCTCCGCAGCTTTGGCTTTCTCTTATTCAGTTCGGTTAAATACACCGGGATAAATTACCGTGCGACAAACACAGCGCCCACCGTGAACCATACATTACAGGTAGCTGTCGCTGCCATTAATGATTTCGAAGATTTAATGTCTGCGTACCTACCGGCGCTTTCGTTCGTTCGATCGCAGTCGCGTCCCGAGCATGTGCCTACTTTAAGGAATTATGAACTGGAACGCGTAACAGTTTATTGTAGCAAAAAAAAAAAAAAATGTAGGCCAAAGTGAACTGGATAAAAATCACTTTCACCCGAACAGGAGAAGACGAATCCAGAACTGGATTACTATAAGTTACATATATTGTCAAGCCTTTATTCTACAGGGGAAATATTAAAACTTTCTAGCATGCTGAACGTATAATATATTTCGTATCACTGAAACTTTTCCACGGTATTACCGGCTAAAAATCGACGCGAGCGACAGTATATCCTTCGAAGCACAAAAAAGAAATTTGAATTTCGCATTTCCTGTATCGATAATCTATGCATGAGTTCCGAGTAAGTACCGAGATACACCTTGCTCCCAGTTTTTCCAGAGACCGAACGTCCCACTAATCAATAAACAAACTGTAATCGAGCGTGTTTTCGATGAACAGTGAGAAAATGCTTCGCAGCTACGACTGGCCGCGTGTGTATGCGCGAGCGAGCAAAACGAGCGTGAGCCTGGCCGGAAATGGGACGAGGAACCTGGCGAGGAAAGCAAGGAGCCGAAAGGATGACAGGAATGTCGAATCGGAACGTGTCGGCACAAGTGGGTCGAGAGTTCACGAGCCGTATAATTAAATTCCGCATCGAAGAAAGCGTTTTCCCTCTCGTTTCGCGGTACCATCACCGTGGCTGGACAACGTTCGATATCGTCTGATATTTCTCTGCGTGTAGGACGCGTTTGCGGAGTGTAATTCAATAAATGCGGACCCACACAGGAACAAGCGAGATGAGCGCGATGCCAACACAAGCAACGGTGATTACGCTCGAAACGCGAGGAAGTTCGCGGAGGATGATACAACGACGGTCGACCGCGTACTTTTCTTCCTGATACTCTCCCACTGGAGGACAGGGATCAACGATCTAACGGGTGACTCTAGGATACGCTCGAGGAATGCGTTCCTGCGACATCTTTTGCTCGCTACGTAACGGCATTACGTAAAATGAACGCAGAATTGTGCAAAGTATTTCACGAATTCTATGTTAAGAAATTAATGAATTTTCATAAACGGTAGTCACAGAAGCAGTCAGATCACTCGGAGGATTTATCGTCGTGATTTGATTGTCTCAATTCGAAAGGTAAAACGATAGATATATATGTAGAACGGAATTCAAGGGAAAATGAAATACGACTGCTTCCTGTGCTCTAAAAACGAAACGAGTTCGACGGGAATATGAAGAAATTGGTTATGAGATTTCCGTTCGGAGCATGAATTGATTGCTCGTATTATTAAACTTGAAGCTAGAGTGAAATTTGCTTTTAAACTAAAAACGCTTTTCATAAAGTAGAAAATCAATTCGTTCAACATTGACGTATCGCAAATTGCAGCGAAGTAGGTTACATATATAAAACTCGGTCATCGTTTTCGTCATCTGCGCGCGGTGTTTAACGATCTCACGAAAATACCAGTAGAATACAAATGGCATAGAGATTACAATTTATTTAAGCCACTTAATGAGTAAGACAAATATGGACCGGCTGAAATGTCGAATAAGAATTTCAATGATTAACGACATTAGACACTTTCTCGTAAACAATTTTGTTCTAACTAATTTACATACAGGTTTCACCCATTCGAGAAATAATCGTCTATCATTGAGTGGTACCCTAAATTTATCATTCTATTGCGTCACGTAAGTTACCTATTTGAGAAACCCGGCACGAAGATCGAGAGTATCGTCGTGATCGGCTCTTGTACAAAGTCTCGTTGAATTTGTGAAATCATCCGACGACCGGAGGCATCGAGTGTGTGCCAGGAGTCTAGGTCTAGGACGCAACTTGGTACCTGTTGCCGTTTCGATCCGAGAAGAGGGCTGTTTCGTAACGGCGCGACGGATCGTCCGAATTCGGCTACTCGACGGGGCAAACCGTCTCCCGCGAGTACGACGAGGACGAGTCGGACGCATCGTCCAGCGGAGAAAAAGAGAAACGAACACAATTGAAAGGACGGAGGAGGGACGAGGGGGTGAAAGAGGGAGGTGGGCATCGTCTCATAGCTGAATTACTCTCACTCGAGAGGCCCCCGTCTCTTCTTCGTGGGGGCCACAAGTATCCCCCTGCTTCTCGTGGGGTATAAAGGACCCTGGTCTACCTTGCACAGAGTCACAGAACAGAGCGGCATCGCAGAAGCCGACATGAATCCTCTGGTCGCGGTAAGCACGTTGACTTATTCCAAACACTATCCTGACCAAATCGAGGTGATTCGCTAGAGAGAAAGAGAGAGCGTCTGTGAGTGGGCATAGACAAGTGTAGAGATTCCTTTTCCGAAGTGAGATTATGCGAGTTTAAAAAAAAAGTGATCGGTGTTCTCGATTTCTAACACGTGTTGCAATAGATTTTCTACTCGGAATATCTGCTGCGATTACGTTCTCTATCCGATCATCGGATTACATTATTAAGCCGCGTGTATCTCTCCAATTTCTCTGTTAACGGCATCTCGCATAGTAGCTTTCCCTCTTGAGCGTGTGACTTCTCATTAGTTTTAATTATGCTTCAGTGATCAAGTCGATTTCGAATTTTCCTCTTGTTCATCAGTTATTCTACTCCTGAATAATCCAATACGTATTTCTCCTTTGGCGACGCTTTTTATCGAAAATTGTACCTTCGTTTCGAATGAATCTGATTAGCTTTGTTGTACTTCACAACAATAATCACCGTAACAAATCGCAATTAACGTATTCGTTGGCTTTTATTTTTTCAGTGTATGATAGTCGGTCTAGCAGGGTTCGCCCTGGCTGAACCACCAGTTTCTTCCGGCTACAGCTACAGCAGACCAAGTGGCGGCGGTGGAATTTCCTTTGGTGGTGGAGGCGGTGGCGGATACACTCAAGTATCCACCGGCTACCAAACCAGCGAGGGAGCATCCGTCGACGGAGCCCTACTGGAACAAATCCGTCAAATATTGCTGAAGGAAGAACTGCAAGCTCAGCAGACCGGAGGTTTCGGAGGAGGTGGTGGTGGCGGTTATGCCCCCAGCTCGAGCTATGGTGCTCCATCCAGTTCGTACGGTGTACCAAGCTCGTCTTACGGTGTACCCAGCTATCAAACCCGCGTGGTAGGCGTTGATCTCGAAGGAATCAGGCAAGCTATCCAGGTAGCACAGTTCAACCAAGTGAGCCAGGGCCCTGGTGGCTATCCAAGCGGACCAAGTTCATCTTACGGGGCACCAAGCAGACCAAGCGGTAGCTACGGTGCACCGTTTTAAAACGGTTGTCCAACTTGAAACGCAGATTAGATGATGGGAGTGTGAGAGAGGGAGAGAAAGAGAAAGAGCGAGTGGAGACACCAGTCGACCACCGCGACTATCTTTCGAGCCGAAATTCCTAGCGAATATGGTTAATGAAAAACCAGGACTAAACCGATCAATAGTAAAATAAGATAATCACTGGGCAAGTTTCTAACGTATCGAAGGAAGTTCTTTCAACTGAAACCTGTTTTCTCTCCAAGTCCCGCTCGGAAGATCGTCGTGACAGAGGATCGTTAAGAAAAGTATTAGTAAGAAGAGGACACAAAGGTCGTTCAGCGAATCAAGGTTCTCGTGAGAGAAGGACGATGAAGTCAAGGTTGTACGTACAAGGTAACAGCGGACAATGGATTCCGAAGGCTCCTGTTTCGTTGAAATCAAATCGTCGTCGCTTCAACGAGCCACGATCCTCGAAGGAATCGCGGGTGTACGTACAGGAAGGAACTCCACCGAGCTGCTGACTCGTTGAGGAATAAAAGGTCGTCGCTTCAACGGGTCAGAGCTCAAGGAGTGAACTTGAGCGTTCGAACGATCGGCCAAAGGCTTAACGATCCGACAGTCGACGTGGTGTCGTTTTCTGTCGTACCAAAATCATCGTCGTCGCGGTCGGATCCATGAGGGATCCAACGAACTAAGTGATAAAAGCTCGAACCGATAAAAATTAGAAACAAATCACTAGAGTAAGATCTTAAGGGAGGTTAATCCTCATACGATTCTTCAAGACTTCAAGCCGTGGAGTCGGAGTCGGAGTCGAAGCCGTGATCGGCGCTTGAACGCGCCTTGTAAATACAATTTATACACGCTTTCCACAGCGTCCGCTGCATCATTCGACGGTACGAGGAGGATTAGAGCATCCGTACGTCATCCGATACGGTCCACCAGATATTTCAAAAAGCATTGAAACGTCGAGAAAATAAAAATGAAGATTAAGTAATCGTCTCGATGAACGCAGCGGCCGCTAACGCGGATATACACGTACACAAAAGAATACACATACACTCTATTTTTTATATATCTTAAAAGATACTCCTTAACCACGCATTTTTTTTTTACATTTGTATAAAGGCTTTTTTGTAGAAAAAATAAAAAAAAAACGTCGCCACCGTTGAAATAATCGCCGTAGTATTCAATTAGAACGCATCGTTTCTCCAATAATAATCCTCTTCCTCCGTAATTTCTCTTTTCCTCATCGACCTAGTCACTACCTAAATATTATAACTACGACTTCTATTCGAAATCCCACATAGTCCTGACCTCTGATCGTTCAGCCATAGCGATTCTTCATCTTTCCAAGTTTTTTTTTTTCATTTCCTTCTCCTCCTCCTCCTCCTCCTATAAAGACGAGCAATTTTTTGCTTCTGTTCGTCCAGAAAGCGCCTTTCTCCTTTCACTGATCAGAACCAACGACGCAGGCCGCCAGCAGACCCTCGGGGCCTGCGAGCTTCTCCTGGACATGACGTAAATTCTCACGAACAACGTTTAACAAATGCTCGCAAAGCGGATCTGAGAAGCCTGGCCACCGGTCAGGGATTCGAAAGTGGCTTGATATCCTACCCTCTCGAACGTTCACGAATTCTTCGACCGTGTTACGTATACGGTACTCTCAATTTTAAGTCACGTCGCGAAACAGATAAGTAACGAAGAATTCAGCGGACTTTTTACAGTTCTCCTCGACGCATTTCGTAAACTTTTACAACTCGTGCTAGGTATACATGTGTCTATAATAACGGAACGTTTATATGCTGAGTAACGATCCACGATGCGCCGCATTAAATCGTTTACGCGTGTTTAGATTTCGACGTTCACGCAACCGGTGCACGTAACAGATTTATTAAGGCCGTCACGAGAATTTCCTCTGTTAGAGGAACTCATAAGCGTGTCTTATTAGATCCATAATATTTAATGAGAGGTAACGAATCGATCTGTTACGGTGGATTCGTCGCTCGAAAATGTTACACGAGTATACAAACTAAGTACAGTTAAATAGCACGATTAAAGTAATATCAGGATGTACAAAATTTTCGCAAAACAATTTCGATCAAGGACTACAGTTTCTGTAGGTCGGGTAATTAAACGTTGAGAAATGAATGTTAGAATTAAGTAATGATTCAGCGACCGGGACAATGTGAGTCTGGCGCAATTAAACTCACCATCATGGAGAATAAATCGCGGACGCTACGCTAGACCTAAATTGAATCATTACGTTTCTGTGTATTTCGTATGACTTCGTCGCGTTCGCGCCCGGCATTACGTAACGAAGTGCGCAACGCATTACGGGGTACAAAGGGATCCTCGATCCTTGAAAATGGGAACGATATCATGATAACAAGGAAAAATTAATATTAGGAGAACGGCAAGTGTCAAAGGATAAGAGGAGTTATTGCACGAAGTCTCGGGGCCTTTGCCAGGATGTTCCTCGCGATGTGTCGTCATTGAAATACTAAGAAACAACTTTGTTATGGGCCACTAAGCTACCAACACTGATGTCCACCATTTCTTATTACCAGCCAGGAAGCGTCTTAAATGCATACGCAATTGTTTATACTTTATTAGCCACGAAACAAGTGACAAAAGACAAGTATTTATTTGAATACCGAGAGAATCGAAATGACAACGATTCGACCGTTCTAAAAGGACTTACGTATGTATGTACGACGTCCAGCGGGGAAAGTGCCGTGACTCTTCGCCAGCAGGGATGGCGAGGTCGAGAAAGGAGACAGAGGGGGAAAGAAGGAGAACTGTGAGATTCTCCGTGGAATTTTGTAAGAGCCGTACATAATCCATAAACGTGCCTACCAGGCAGAAGCCGTGCGAAAGGAGGAAGAACACTTACACGCAGTAGGATCTGTGCTACAGTTTGAAATCCGAGAGTAGAATTTCATGTCCCAAGGATCCTTGAAAACCGGCACGCCCATTCAAAACTCTACACCGTCGCCCAACTTTTTGTACAAGTGGTTTTCCAAGAACTTCACGTTAAACTGAACGTGAAAAAAAAAGAAGAAAAACGACAGCTACCCCTATTTTCATACGTGAAAAGACCTCGGTCGCTCGAAACCTAGTTTTTTTGTACGTTAACTATTCTTAATACTCTTTAACCGACTTTTTCTACGGGATACGCATAATCAGGAGATCCATCAGCGGCAGGGAAGTCGTGGCGTGTGAAAGGAGAGAAAAACGCGGGCACGGTGACGCACAATGATGCGCTCGGCCAATTATGGGAAGAGGATTTGTCGAGCAACCGGCTCGTAAAACGTGCTCGTTTACAATGGTCCTGCTCGTTGTTTTACTTTCGCTAGTCCCGTTTCCGCGGCACAAGCTTTTGAGTTGCCATCAGTTGCTTAACATACGGAGCCGCGTCTTCGTTAACGCGCGTACGGACGACGCGTTTTTAATGAACTGCCTAAAGCAAGCCGCTCACGCTTACTTCCACAATTATGGTACCGACTAACAATTATTATCGCCGACGCTCAAATCGACGTCTTCCGCCAACTTTAATTATAGCGTGGCAAGGATGACGTAACTGACGATACTCAATTTTAATTCTCAAAAATTTTCAAATAAGTTTAGTCAAGAGACTCATTATCAGATTCACTTTTTACTTCTTCTAACTTCTATTTTTTATATATCAAACATTTGAGATTGTTATGATTATTTGAAACGACTTATGTGACCAATACCGGTCACTAGAAGAAAAAATGAGGAAAGAAGATCGACTCTCTAGTGAGGATCACTTATGTAACTCGATAAGTATTACGCGAAAGAGTCCAGGGAATGCAGGTCGCACTTGCAACCGTGTAAGAGGTAAGAGGGGGAAAAAAGTCGTGAGATTTTAAGGGGTCCGTACGTGCCCAGAAATTGTGTAAATCGAACAAGTCGATTACGCAAACATTGTGCGCCACCTTTACCAGTATCGCTGTGAAGGAGATCATCTCGTGGAGACGGTACAGTTTTAATATTACCTCACAATTTCTTGAATCGACCGACCGATATTAGTATGAATGAGAGATTGAAATATATTTTCAAAATGTGAATTGCGTTCGTCGCTTGAAGGATGTTCAAAGGGTAAATGAAATTGAAATGTCGTGGAGGACAGAATGTAAAATCGTCATGACACTTGGTCATTGATTGCACGGAGATACTCCTACCCTGAGAAAGCTAAGAAGGGGAGAAAGTTACGGGAAAATCATTGGTCTCCCGCGCGCGCGCTCGCGCGCCATTACATCGGCCGTAAACATACAAAGACAAACAAGTTTGTGCGTCTTGCTCGACAACCTGCGCCTTCCATCACATCGATGATAATTTACGATCCACTCGACGATTTACGATTTAAATTATCTTTCGAGAGAGGATACTGTAATCGCGATAACGAAAAGAAACTGACGGAAGTTCGCGACAATCTTACGCGTGTAAGACATTTCTCTACGTGTTTAAGTAACAAGAAATACGATCAATAAAAGAAAATATAAATCATGAGCGTATCAGCAGTAAGAAACTATGAAAGCTCATTAGGATGGAAAATAAAACACTACATTTTTCTTACAAAGATAAAAATAATGGAATTTAATTTACCAGTTATTTACAGTAATCTTTTGATTTCACAGTAGCAATCCGTTCTTTTATTTACATCCTCTATCAGACTTTCTCATCCAAGTATCAGTTTCACTGTAATAGTTATGATATTCAGGAATATCAGTGGTACTGCAACAAACGTTCATCATATTGTTTATTGTATACGAACAATAAGATATATATTGGGTTGGCAAGAAAGTAATTTCAGTTTTTGTAAATACATAGCGTTATACAAACCGAAATTACTTTCTTGCCAACCCAGTAGATGTATCAAAACGATGTTGTATTTTTACCTCGCATCACCGTTCGTATCGATTTGATTAGATTTAATAATTGCAGTTTTATCGAAGGTGGTTCGCCGAAGCCTTGGACATTTTGCCACGATGCCCAACCGACTATAAAGATTACAGAATAAAATTAATAAGATACCTAATTGAGCGTTCACAAAAAATCAAGGGACGAGCTAGTGTCCCGAAGGCAAGTTTATAATCTATACTTCTCGTACAATACGATGCAAATACAAACCTTCGCATAACCAATAAGTCATGTTAGTTAAAATTTACCGGATGAAATCAGACATAAACATGAAGGCATAGGATTTGCATGATCATAAAACGACGTACCTTTAGCGAGAAACCTATCCTCATTTAAAACGCAAACGGCGTTTAACCACAATAAGGTTGCCTCATAAAGTGTCCACAAAGTAAACGCCATGTTATGTCGATCGAATGAATGAAAACGTCACGTTTGTAAAGCACACAACGCCACGTCGCGCACACCGCTTGGCGCGGCCGGCGCGGCCGGCGCGGCGCGCACCGACTGATCGAATCGTATCGATTCGAGACTCGCCTGACATCTTTAGTGTTCCGTCAGTAACTAGAAAGCAGAAGAGCCGCGTTGCGCTGGAAATTCAAAAAGAATTCAGCAGCGTATTGGAGTATCTTCAATCACAATAACTTCTTTTACTGGTCTGTCCACGATCTCAGATCGTGGGTCTGTCTGTCATGTCTTTGTTTTATTTAGAGATTACGAAATGAGATTTGCATGACTAAACACACTGAATTTAATCGACAACATTCTACGAACAATGCAGTTATAGAATTCACGAAGACTGAGGACCTTGAACAAGTGGATTGTTAACATGTTAGAGCAATGAATCGTTAGAAAGATTATTCTATTTATAGTAATTGACCGGACAGGGCGCACCTTCTTGGCACTAACGCTTTCGGTACGAGGACCCTCCGAACCGGAGTACAACCGCTTCTAGATGATTCGAAGCTCTCTTCTCAATTGAGTTATGTTAACGGTTCATAGGTGCCGGTTGTAAATTATGGAACGTGGAGTTTATTTCGCATTACCCTAGTCATTCATGACCTCTATCATCATTTTATCACTCAGCGTACATAGCACACGTTCGTCACGTGGAAGGATACTCGTTGCTTCTTCGCTTATCGTTTCATGAATCCAACGAGTCTGATATCTTAACGTAGGTGAAGAAAACTCGGAATCTTCCGTTTAATTTCTTTATGTACACACAAAGATTTCCCTAATTAATACTTCGCCCCTGTACGCCGATTTGCATGACTAAATACCAGCGGAAATTTTAAGTACATTGTAAGTGAAACAGAATTATGCTAAGAAAATTGTGACATTGATTTCAATGAAGTCAAGCGCAAAGTACGCGTGACTCAAAAGTCACATTTGTGGAGCTTAGGGGAATGCCATATTCTGCATTAGAAAAAGTTTTCCTGTTCACGCATCTTGTTTGTTAGTATGAAAATCTAAGAAAATCGTACATTGTTTCTTCAACAACCAATTAATGTTTGTGAGTCATTACTCTTGGGGAAATGTTAGACATACCCGGAATTGAACAACGAAATCGCGCCCACGATTTTCCTAACGACAAGTCTCTGTCTAAATCTATTCACAGTAAACATGCACTGTTTTTTCGCTGTTACGCAACATTTCGTTGCATAATTAATTTTGTCATTAATTCTCATTATTCATACAGCAATAACCATAATATCGCGACCAATTGGAAAAAATTGTATAAATCAACTATTTTTGCATTGTATATGCTATTGGACTGTGATGAAAGCTGATAAATCAATATATATGCACTGATCAGCCATTCGCTAACTGACAGTAATGACGCTGACCGTATGCCACGCGGCTGGTTGGTCATGTTCATTAAATCGTACCAGGGAAATAGAAGAAACAAATGTGGACTTTGTTCCCCGGCTAGCAAACGAAGGGAAAATGGAGAAGGTCGATTCACGGACAATCTTGTTTACACGATAATAATCATGGCAAATATTACATTATCTTCGCATAATTACATAAAAATAGTTGAACCAATAAATAATCGTCATTTGTTATTGCGAAATTGTTGTTGTTCATTGCCGTTCCTCATTGACTGCGAGTTTAAGTTTAAACCGTATATTTCGCACATGGAATGGGTTCTAAGATGAACAATCAAGAATTACGTGACGCACTGCGGTAATAATTTACGAGGGATAATAATTGAACACGACGAAGCGATTACATTGATAGCAATTCATGTGAACTTACAATCAATTTAATTGGACCATTAAAAACGATGTCCTTTCTTGTTATTCTCGAAAGAATTAGTATGATATATCTCTGTTTCGGCTAAGCAATGAAACAAAGTCTAATTGAACGATGAAAATAAACGCGCCTGTAGAACTATAGCGATCGTTCAAATTTGAAACAGCTCCTATGTTTATAAAGTCTAGCCAATAATAATATTATAAATACCCATGCCAGTAATATCCGTCTCTATAGTTTGCTCATTGGAAATGATACATTATTTAAAGTCTTGGTGGTCTTAATAAATATCAACATTTTATCATCAAACGTGAAGCATACGTATGCCCTGCACGTTTATTATAACGTAGTAGAGTAGAGGGGACAGAGGACCGGCGATTGGCTGGTTTCAACAGAGGGCGCCTACCAGCTCCGGTCGATGTTGCTAAAAGCTGCAGCGGATGAAGAAACATCAGTCGCTGGAACCTCTTCAAGTCGATTGGGTGTAACGTGAACACGTTACAATTGCCATTCCAACTTCGTTCCAATTTCGCTTATTCAACAGTACCGTGAAATTGCATTAGTGATAGACCGAGAACGTCACAACAAAATCTGCGATAGGAACCTGATCAATAATTGCAAGAACGATCTATCTATATCGAAGTTTCAGCGTAGATTAAGTTCACTTTACAGACCGGTTGAACGAAAACCGAAGCGAATCCAGTGAGTATCCAGGTGAAACCACGATACTCTGAACGGGAAGCGAAGAGAAAGCGACTCAGAGGGTGAGGTATAAGTTGCATATAAATATTACTAAATTGGAGTGGAAGAGAAGACGAAAAGGGAAGACCGGTGTGTAAGGAGACAGTGAGGCGGCACCATTACTATGTAAACTACCAGCAAATACTTGTGGCAGCGCGTGCGCACAGCCGAGCGACCTGTATCATAATCGTTCATAAAGTTACTCCAAAACCTGATAGACCGATCGAAAACAATCGAGGGTTCAGGTAGAACAAGGGTGAAAAAGGGACTTTCAATAAGAAGAGAAAAACCCAGAGAACTGGGCCTTTCTTCGAACAAAAGTAAAGAAGCCCGCAAACTGGCTCCAGAGGTGAGGATCAAGCAAATTGGAATGAGGGAGGATCTGTTGTCCATAATACGGCACACAAGCAGCGACCACTTTTCGGAAGAACTTTAGCCCAAAGTCAACGGCAGAGGGGACAAGAGGAGTACTAGCAATAGGCCACTGTTTTCGAGTATTCCGTACAAATAGAGGGCTCTTGTTCGCTGGATATTTCAAGGAATATTGTTACCAGGCTCCCTTTCATCCTTCCTGTCATTGATTCATTGTTTCGGTCGACTCTGCTTTCTGTGGAAGAAGACAACGACGGCCTTGCACCCGTTCAAGAGCTTTTCCCGTTGGACCGTTTTACCCCTGGGTCGTCTCTCGGTTTCACCTGCTGACGATAACGATTCTGGGTCATCGTGAGAAAGCTCGAACCGAAGAAAGCGACTAGCCGATCATAACACTGGCAGCTTACGCGACCAGCACGAGTAGACTGAAGACCTCACTGAGGGCAGCCAGTATGGCTCCAAGCGCTGAAGAAAGCCGCCAAGGTAAAGCCGATTGACGAAAAAAATACTAGCATGAACTACTTTCATTAATGAATGTTATCTACTCGAGTAGATGACGTTTACACGATCAAGCTACTTCTGATAAATTTGTTATGCACTTCGATCGATAACCGAGTTACGCAGAAATGTCATTATTTTATCGTTGAAAATGAAAATGCTATATCGCTGCGGCTTATGCAACGCGACTGTTACTGTCATATTGCACTTACACGTTGCAACGCATAGGAATGTAACAAACAATTTCTGCGAGCAAACACAAAGTCCAGCGTTGCTATAAAACAGTACCATGTTTTTCTTGACAAGTTAAACATGACCTGTTTCTTATCTCTTACGTCTTGGGGTTTTCCGTTTGTACTCACCTAATTCTTGTAGGACACGAGGTGATGATACGGAACTCTCGCGAAATTAGGTCGCGGTTTCGGTTCTACAGACTCAAACCCTGTTAGAAATCGGAGTATCGCTATAAATAACACTCGTTGCAAATAGGTCTGCGCGTCGCTTGACCTAAACTCGCGTGATAGATGAAAATTCGGGCACGTGGCGTTTATTTTCCTTAACATTTCGACATTTCTTGAAGCAGATACGACACGAAAAGCGGAAAAATAATAAATAATAAATGGAATATTCTCGTACAGTAAAAAAGAGACTAAAAACTAGACGTGTTTTACACTTTCCACACGTTTATCTGGCCGATATCGATATACATTTATGAATTCTAACGAGGCCTCGTTAATTAGTATGCGTTGATAAACGTATCTCGTTCTTTCACATTTGTCGGCAAGCCAGGTAAACCAATCGTCGTGCGTCTTTCGAAACGACGTTTCTGCATAATGCAGCCGTTGCCCCGATTGTTGTTTTAAAAGCGATACATTCCGTATCAATGAGAAATGGGACAAGGGACTCGTGTCTATCTAATTAATAAAATAATCCGATTGCGGAGGCCAACAACAACGAGGAGTAAGAAACGCGAGTATCGTATTAATGAAGTTGATTATTATTGTCAGTAACGTGTATATATGTAGTAGTACGTCAAATATTATGTTCACGCCTGACGGGAAAAAAAGGATGTTTAATACTCCGAGTCGGGTGAGTTCACTCGAATATAATAGTTGTTATTCGCAAATGTGTGCACACTCGAAGGCTGGCATAATGAAACGGCGTTTGAAGTAATATAAATTAATCGTAGACAGTAAATATTGTATAATCGCGAATGATAAAGTATAAGGAAACGATTGTCGAGTTTTCCGACCCAGCACGTGCACGTTATTCACGAGTCGGCAATTAATGTTACGTCAAGTAAAAAAGTTGTACGAATGACTGACGATTATATGATCTAATCATATCGTGGGAGATAACGATACTACGTCGAGTAGGTAACGAATTTACTTAAGCTTCGTGATATTTACTCCGTGATAAAACGTGGAGGACTGAACGGAACAAGTTGAAAAACAGGAACGAAAGGCAAAAATCTCGTCAAGGATTTCATCAGGTTATTATTATGGTTCCCTTTGTGCGTAGTGTGTAACTGCTGCGTGCACACCGTACGCACTATGCATGATGATAAGTCTCGTAAACACTGTCCACGTGTACTGTGGGGTGTGTCCCTTTAAAATTGCTACCTTTACTTACTGTTACGCGACTACGTGCATAGCTTTCTGCCTACGCTAATTATTTATACTATCTCCGCGAATACGGCCAGTGTATAAATACCGACGACAAGATACTAAATATATGTTTATCAGCTGTGAGCGTTGCCTTCTGACGTCGACCGGTCGACATGTACATGGATATTCTTTATCTTCAACTTCTGCTCCAGTTACGACCTTCTTTTTATCTCGGTACTAAAAGGTTTTAAGGATATCTAGTGTTATCGAAACTCGAACATTTTTATTGAATTTTGGACATTTCACGTGCGTGGGAGTTCTATTGTCCTTTCTGATGCAACGGACGAGGTTTCCTACCACCACGAAGTGAATTATCGATTTTCCGCTACTGACCTTGTTTTTATCCATCATGCGGTGGAAGGGGGTACAAGCAGTGGATGCGTCATTGCGAGTGAAATCGCAACATTCGCGATCGATCAAGATGCAATAAATAGCCACGAAAATTGAAGGGCCAAATTAGAATCTACTCTTTTGCTGTTAATTTATACCATCTGTCGTTTATGCAAATCCCCATCCGGTAGAAAGCAATAAGCAAGTAGTTTCTTATCCTTCACAATTTTTTTGTCATTGGTATTCGTGCATACAATGACACGAGAAACGTGACAACTCCGTACGCACCCGTACGCATACACACGAGTCCGACCCTCACACAATTCAACGTTTGAATAATGAATCGAGTGAGGACACAGCTGGCAGGTCAATGCACGAATCATTAAATGCCATCAAACATTCACTTCATGGGGATAACATCGGATAATATATGTATGTAAATATTGTCTCAGTCGCTTGTTGACACCAATCGATTCCAGTTTCTTATTCAACCTATTAAACGTCTAGCTACCCAGACGTAACGACACCGTAACATAATGAAAACGTAGGTCTTCGTAGTTTTTAGGACAGAGTATAGGAAAAAGTATGTAAAAGCAGGGAGCTCAGGGGTCCACGTTTGACACCGAATCGGCAGGCGGGGACTACCTATTCTGAGGGTTTTATGTACCTATCCGACGACTCTGCGAGTGCCTTCGTAATCTTCAGCCGAAGCCAATATAGCCGAAGCTTTTCCTTTACCCTGTCCTACAGACTACGGCACTGAAAATTACGTCCTACGACGTACGGAGACCTACGTTTTCATTACGGTACGGTGTCGTTACGTTTTGTGCAGCTAGACCTTAAATCGTTGATCTTTCCATCGTTGGTGTCATATAATTTCCGTTTTCGCTAGTCTTTGTATTCTGCAGCGTCTGTTATGATTCAGGAGTCATATGAAGGAAAGTTTAACGTAAAATAACGCGATGAACCGTAGCTCATTGATCCCAAGACCGAGAGGTCTAGATTGGAATAAAATTTATTGACCAACGATAGGCAGCGGAAATAGATACGCGAATAAAAATGTAGGCAAATATGGATAACGGATGTCGAAATTGCGGTGTACGTGCTTTTGGTCATGCCAAAATCCAGAATGTCGGAATACATTCAGATTTAATTAGTTCAAGTAGAATGACCTTTTTATCAGTGGCTGATACGATTGTAGTAGTTTTAAGCAAACGGGCGAACGTGTCTCGTGATAACGCACGTAATCAAATATTAATCTCTCTTTTAGGACAGATAATTTTTATCAGCCGTTCACGTTTTTACTCTTTTTTTCTTCATTTGATAAAGAGCAAAACAATTTTAATATGTAGAAGTATTCGCGTTTATTTTGGTACATAATTTTTAACAGATTTGCACGAAGTACGTTTTTACATTTTCATTTTGCGTTTCATGATGAATCACCGATGTACGTTTATAATGCGAACGTAAACGTGGACTTTTAGTGAGAAAATTGGAAAACAAGTTAGTACCGTGAAAGAGGTGGCAGGCGAGAAAGTGCAGCCAAAAGATTTCTCGTGCAAGCGAATTCTAAATATAACGTCGACGCTTGGTGTCTCACCAACGGGTGGACACCACCAACGGCGATGCATCAGTGTACGATTGAGATTCGCACGGTCAATTCGTACAAACGAATTGCATGCTCGCGAGCTGCGCTCGCCGGTACGGTGCATTGAATCGCATTCATCAATATCGATCGAACGTTGGTTCGAGCTATAGGGTTGAACAACGTGTTAATTGTACAACGCAGGAAACATGTGCGTCATCGGTAAGGATTGTTCTCGTTCAGGACTGCTCCCGTTTGTCCTCCGATCGATCACGGAGAGGAGTGCAGTCTGCATACTGAAATGGAACTCCATTTTAATTGTTCATATAGTTAGTGCATGTAATGTTCATGCAGTATAAAACTGATTGTTTCTCGCATGGCCGCGTAGAAATCTAGTTAATTACGTTCGCAAATCAAGGATGCACCTATGATGATTTAATATCCTCTCCTGTCCGTTTCCTATGAATTGCAACACACGACATCTTAGTGTCCAAATTCTTCTTGTACGTTCTTTGTGTTGATGATCAGTCGAGTGATGGTTTGCATACAGATACCTTGGTACCCGGCCAAAAGTATCGGAGCATCTTCTAAAGTAGATCACTGCATATATGTACACCTAACGACGAATAGCCTGATCGTGCAAAGAAACGCTTTGCGAGAATCTCAATGTTTATTTTAATCGTATTCTATTGTCAAATTGTATACATATGCATTCTCTGTTTGACGTTATACAAAGAATACATTGTCCCACGTGTCAAAATGGTGGCGCGGGGTCAGGCGGAAGATCAACGCGTACATATGATTAATTATGCAATCGTGCGGTGATTCACCACGGTTTCTCTTGTTTTCAGAACCTGGTAAGGACAAAATTGGAGTAAGGGCAACAGGGATAACGAAGTCGCCGCGCAAGTTCGCGGGGGTCGTAATCGCGATGTGCGGTTTACCAGGCCGTGGAAAAAGCCAAGTAGCTCAATGCCTTTCGCGCAGACTCAACTGGAATGGAAATTCCACTAAAGGTGTGGAATTAACCTTTGTCTGAATGTCCTCCTCGAATGGGAGACCTATTCATTGCATGTCACATTGTCAATCGAAATTATAGCTTTTACAGTCTTGTTTTCATTCAGCCATCAATTATCTCGATTCATTTTCAATTTCATAGTTCACGTTTATAAAAACTTTACGCGCTTGATTGACGTTCATTAATTTCTTCTCCCGTCACGTTCGATACAATCGACAAACTCGTTAACCATTCGCTTATGATTAATGCGTTGCCATGAGGAAAAAATCATTTATTATTATTTCATAACACGCCTGCATTGTTTTATCTGTTGTTTTTCTATTCTTCGCTAGTTTAGTCTCGACTCTTTCCTCCAGAAAATATTAGCGTTTACTGAATTCAACATTCCAAATCAGACCGTCTCAAGAATTTGCTATCCCTGTCTATCCCATATTTCCAGTCCCTGTCTTGTACAGGGTGATTCTCTCGCTAGGGTAGACAAAGGCGTGCCGCCGTGTAACATTGTAACCAAAACCCATAGTACTGTAGCTCACACATGTACGCACACAATCGTCCTCGTTGCAGTAGCCATCCGTCCTCGTCCCCCCCGATGGCACAGCGGCTGCAGTACTATGGGTTTTGGTTACAATGTTTACACGGCGGCACGGCCTAGCGAGAGAATCACCCTGTATAGGCAACAGGGACTTAAGCAAATGCTTAAGACGATTTTAAGAATAAGCAACGACTCTGAATACCGGCTTAAGGCCCTTTTCCCTGGATCCTTAGAAGCTATTCTGGCTTTGTCAAACGAGAGAATCACCCTGTATAGGGAACAGGGACTTAAGCAAGTACTTAAGACGATTTTAAGAATGAGCAACGACTCTGAATACCGGCTTAAGGCCCTTTTCCCTGGATCCTTAGAAGCTATTCTGGCTTTGTCATAAATTAGAATTCGATTTCCTTGTCCACCGCAGCCCCTATACCATTACTTCTCCGAAGCATTAAGGAAGAATGAGCAGTAAATCACTTTCGAAATGTTTTCCCAGTGATGAGGGTCAGCGATTATCGCCGGAAAAGATTGGAACCATATGGAGAGGCAGTGTCGCACGAGCTGTTTCGTCCAGACCATACAGCAAATGCGGCGCTAAGAGCCCTGGCCGAACGGGATGCAATGCACGATTGTGCGGCATGGCTTGCGGCCGGAAATTCTATAGCTGTAAGCATCACAAGCAAATTAGGTGCAAGTTCCAAACGATTGACGAAAATTCATGTAGGGTTAAACGGTTTGAATTTAGAGAGCAGAGTTCGTGAAGATCTTTGATAAGTCTCGTTCTAAGCTTCGAACGAAAGAGGCGTGATAATTCCTTTTTTTTCTCTCGAGTATCGAGTAAGATTAAAACTCGTATTAGGCGTGGATTACGCTAACGAAAGAGTGGCTAGTTGAACCAGTCTACCTTTCTCCGCCGAGTCAAATCGAATCTTGTCGTACCAGTTTCGTCTGGTCAATTTTTTCACGCCGCGTACTAACGTTTCACGATAGAAACCACAGCAGTTTACGGTTGTAACAGATTTATAGTTGCTCCGCCGTTCCCTCGTTCGTGTACAAGTAATACACATAGAAATAGTCAAGGACCGCATAGATAGTAAATTCCTTCGCGTTATAAAGATACATTCGACAAGATATGAACAGATGTAAATTCAGATATGTTAATCAGATAAAACGATTATTGATTTCCGAATACGACAGACTGAAGCCGAAATTCGATATGAATCTCTAAATACAGGGTGTCCCAGTTTTTTCTGGCCAAACTTTGCCAGCGTGTTCTACATGCAAGAGTAAGAAAAAAATGTTATATTGACATATTTGTTTTGAAATGTTAATTAGTTAATAAAACGTTAATAAAAAATGCCGATATCAACTACTTCAGCAAGTAAACAAAAGTTTATGTAAAAACAAATAGAGATATTCATAACCGGTTCGTACGCTATGTAGACAAAGTCCCAGTTCATTATCATTTTGTATTATTAGTTACTTAATAAAACATTTAAGAGCATATGTACATATAACATTTTTTTCTTACTTTTGTATGTAGAACACGGTGGCAAAGTTTGGTTGGAAAAAACTGGAATACCCTGTATGTAAATAGGATTAAAGAGAAGATTAATGCGATTCCGTGTATGCAAATCGTTGCGACAGGTTTTAAGAACTTTTCTGTTTAAAGATCCTAGACGCCACGCTGGTTACACGAGCACAACGCGCCGAGGTCTACGACTATTTCTCCAGGCAGCTCGGTTATCGCGTGCTTTTCATCGAATGCGTCTGCGACGATCCGGTCGTACTGGAGAACAATTACAAGGAGATATTGCAGTTCAGCGCCGACTACGCTGGGATGGACCCGAAACGCGCCGAAGAAGACCTGCAACTTAAGGTGGCTCACTATGTCCGGTCGTACGAACCGATGGATGAGAAGATCTATCCTCGTATTCGTATCGACACAGCCACCATGGACATCGAAACATGCAAAGTGTCCGGCCACGTGGAGACAAGCGTACTGGGATATCTTGGAAGCATTGGCATTAAGCCGCATACACTTTATTTCTCACGGGTTAGTAATCGATTCATTTTGTATCTCTAACTGGTAATTCTTAAGTTCTTTTAACATTCTTCAAGAGAATAAACACGCGAATGTCAGAGATGGAACTGTTTTCATAATGTGTCATAAAGTTGAGATAGGTTGCGATGCGTGTAATCGACGAACAAGCTAATGTACGAAGAAAGATTATTTTAAATTATTCAATTTACATGACATACATTTTATTTTCATATTACCGATAGTATTATCGAAACAAGTAATCGCATTTAAGATTCATTCTATCTTATCTAGCACTGTTTCTAAGTACACAATATAAAGCTGTCAACAATTATTTTCTCAAGGAGGATCTCGAGTACGCGTTTCTTATCCTGTCAAACTGATCTTCATTCTTTGACGAATGACAATAATGGTTTTACTTTTCAATTGCAGCACGGTGAAAGCGAGTACAACGTGTTGGGTAAGGTCGGCGGTGATGCAGTGTTAAGCCCGCGCGGCGAACGATACGCGCAAGCGTTGGCTACCAAATTCAATGCTATGCGTATCCCTGACCTACGCGTCCTAACAAGTCGCCTTCGAAGGACTATCGCTACTGCCCGCGGCGTGGAAGCGCCTCAGGAACACGTTGCGGCGCTCAACGAGCTACACGCCGGAGTCTGTGAGGGTCTTTCTTACGAGGAGATGCAGGAACATTTTCCGCAGGTAATTCGAAATAAATCAATTTTTTATTTTCCCGATGACACGTGGATTCCATTTAATATTGTCTCTTGTCTCAAACTATCTACAAAAGTCGGATTACAATTATCAAGTTTCGGTTTTACTTATCTCACTTGAGTATTTGCTGAAAGCCAGCTGCGGCGTTCTTCATTATGAACTTAAATTCCTCTGACTTATTTTGGACAGGTTTTGATAAATTGATTTCTTATCCAACTCGCAAACATTTTAATTCTATTTAATTAACTCTGTTGATTCTTCTATCATATCTTATGTCTATCTACTTAGGAATTTGCTTGGCGCGATCAGGATAAGTTGCGTTATCGTTATCCGTGGGGAGAAAGCTATATGGACGCAATGCAACGAGTAGAACCAGTCATCGCCGAGCTGCAGAGGTCCAATAACATTTTGGTAGTGTCCCATCAAGCTGTTCTCCGTTGTATCATCGGTTTCTTCCTGGACAAGAAACCGGAAGAATTGCCTTATATGGATGTCCCGTTGCATACCTTCATCCGTATTAGCAGCCAGGGGTACAATTATAAATTGGAGTTCTTCAAGTTGCCTATTGAATGCGTCAACACCAATCGAGGGAAACCGACGAATTGCAGCACCGATAGAACTGCTGACGACGCTTTGATTACTGTCCCACCGCATTTCGATATGCCGGATCCTTGGAGAAATCCTGGGAGCGGACCCACTCTGGTCCAACAGCACTGAGGAACCGCTCGACGATCCACGATCATGTCCAAAATTCGATCCCTGTTCGGCTGCAGTTCGTGTAAATTTCGCAAATAGATATCATGCCGGGCTTTTAATTGGATCCAACCCAGGAGAAGACAAATGAGATTAAAATTGATGTATCCTCGTTGATAATGACAAATTTGTAGAAATATTTCTAGCATGCGTTACGTAGATCGTTTTAAGCTACTTTTAAGAATTAGAGCCACTGTGTGAAATTAAACGACGGAATTTAATACGTGTGGGTCAATTATGAATATCATACTTGGATGTATGGTCGTCCAATGAAAGCAAACAGGGATGAAAAATTTTTATTTCGCAGCTGTTTGAAATTGGTCTTATGGGAAATACTAATTTGAATTAATTTACGTCAAGTCTTTTTGATCGTTTTCGTCAGAGATTTTTTTGCCGTCTGTTTTTCTTCATCGATTTTGTTCTTATCGCAGCAACTTTGTATCCTGCTGCTAGAGCCCTCTATATGNAAAAATTATATATACAAGATTAATAAATGTTGTATTAGATATAATATTTTCATCGTACATTATAAATGGACGAAAAGACGGACGACTTCGAATCATAGAGTGATGAAGCACGTCTCTCGTTATTTTAATTTCAAAGTACTAGAAAAACAAATACGTAAGGAATGCTTCTGAACATCGTATTAGATTATAGAAGTTAGTTTTTTTTAATTAGTTTCTGAGGTAAGCTACTTGTAAGAAATTAGTGAAGCACAGAATTATAATATTAATCATTTTACTGATGTAAGGAACAATTGAGAAATAATGTAGTATAGGCGCTATACAAAGATTTGCCGATATAATTGTTAGCAATGAAATGACTTACTATTTTGCGTAAAGACTTAGGACAAGCTGTCCAGGCTGAGCTGTTCATTAAGAAATTCTGAAGCTGTATTTTAAGCAAGTATTCTTCTCCGCGATTGGAAAGAAACGCGAGAAACAATCGATAGAGGTGATCGTTAAGAAAAGAAATAATGTTTTTATACGAGAGACGCGTTCTTCCATCGATATATATATATTTATACATATATATGTGTACTATTGTGTTTCGGTTATGATTATATCATGCTCTAGACCGCATAAATGTGCATAATATTCAATTAGGCATCGCGTGGAAATCTTCCAGCAACTAATGGACAGTTTCGAAGATTCACGAATGCAGAATGCGATTAGGACGAGAAATATAAGCCAAACGGAGTCTATTTATTAAGGAATCAAGGGTGACACTATTTTTTTATAGAAAGCGAACGTATTTCTACGTCGAACGGAGATGTTAGCCTTCCAAACTTTTCGAAGCAAATGACAAAAGTCATCTAGTCGATCCATTGGCAGACATTTTAATTCTAACGTTCTTCCTTTATTTCCTTTTTATTTTTTAGAGAGACGAAATGGAAGTTTGCGTAGTGTTTTAGAAATTAGGTTTTACCGTAGACATACTTTTAAAGGTCTTTGTTTTCTTTTTTTAATTGTAAATCATGAATAAACGTTTTTTACAAAATATTATGATATTTCCATTCACAACCATTCACATTCACAATTTTCAAGCACATGAACTATTAAAAATAAATTTTTTCTGTCGCCGTAATTAAATTCGGTTTCAAGTTACGCATTGTAAGCTCGTGTGTATCGCTTGTATCGTACAAAAATAGTTATCATTGTAGACTACATTGCCACAGCTTTCGATAGCTCGTACGTATGACTAGAATGATTAAGATAAGAGACAGGTACAGCTCTCGATAAATCTGACTAGATTAAATATTGACAATAAATAAATCGACCAAAAATCAATATAACGTGTAAGCAATACTGAGTAAAATTAGAATATATGAAAATAGATCCACCGTGAATTCAAAACCGACTCCGTCGAGATGCGATTGGGTCGATCTATATACCGGATCTCATTAGCTTGGCAGTGTAATCCTTTTGTTTATTTGCTAAGTGCAAATCCAAGCTCTTCAGCATTCTGTCTCGAATCTCTTGGTCGCGAGGCGAAGAGTTTTTCAACAAACCGGTTCTACGTAACGCCGTTCGTGGTTCGTTCCTCGAATAGGTCCCCAGGCGGAAACCGGAGCAATTCGACTGAAACGTTTGCAACGACATCGCGTCTCGCTGCCTCGTTTCGCGCACCGCATTCTTCATAAACTCCACCGCAGTTCTACGACACGTGTCGTAACCCAGCAGCTGAATCCGTTTACCATGAATTGCGTCGAGCTGAGAATTCCTGGTCTTCGACGCTCTGTTGATGACCGTACTAACCGAGTCTGGTGTACCGGGAAGATTCTGGAAAACCTTCCGAAGAACTTCTTTCGTAAGGTCCTCCTCGCTGCTAGACTCGCCTGACGAGAATATTCTAAATGATAACTCTTCAAACTTTGCATGTAATTAATTTAATTAACCATGAGAAAGCAGGAAGTTAGAACGTAATTAGAAGCAATTAATTCCCAAGTTACGTAATGTCACGTTAACGAGAAACAAGATAGTCTTGGAATTTATTGCGTGTAAAGAAATAGATAGAACAAATATGCGAAGCGCTTGAGCAATTTTTTTCTAAGTATCGTTTACTGATCATAGCGAGAGCACGGAATCTGACATGAAGTTCAAGGAATGCTTTGGCAAAAGCAGGATCTACTGGAATTACTCTTATTACACGGATCTATTGGAATTACTGTTACCGAGATCGCTGGTATGATCTGTTGTATACGTTCCGTCTTTGATCTCTCGTTGCAGCTCCAGCACTCTGGCAAGTGCCAACTGCAGATACTGCCTGGCGTTAGGATCCTATGTAAACAGCGTTCGCTATTAGATACTTACAGTTTACTTAGAAACTCTGGGAATCAATAATAATATTTCACTCGCGATCAGAAATCTTTCCGTTAATCGATTTTACCTCGACTGGCTTCGTTTTCTTAATGCCGCAATCCCCGTCCGCTAAGCAGGGTGCCTGATTTGACATTAAAAAGAAAAACTAAGAACCGAAAGCTTAAGGATGTATTGGCTATACAGTCAATCCCAAAAGTTTATGTACCTTAGAAAAACGCATTTCCTATAATTAAAAAGAAATCAGACGTCGGAAGAACAATGCTAATAATAAACGACAAAAAAAAATTTTACGATTTTTCTGATATTTTTCCAAGGGGTACCCCCTTCAATTTCTTCCAAATTTTTTTCTTTTTAAAAAATGTGTTTCTAAAGTGCATAAACTTTTGGGATTGACTGTATGGCCAATACATCCTTAAGTGACAGTTTTAGAACACCTGGAATCACCTACCGACGCGTATCTTTTCATATCTCCTGAAACTTTAGGACAGTTCGAAGGAACTTCACCATCGATCCACGGACAACCTTTTACACGCGACTCCACTCGATAACACACTTTCCTCGTCGACGAACGAAAGCACAACAGTAGCTAAGAATAATTTCGAGCCCTCGGTCTTCTCTCAAGCTTCTTCCTTCTTCCCGGATCCGATGCGTTTCACTCCCGACTTAATGGCCTTTTTGTCAATACGGTTCTTCTCTTCCTCCTTTATTACTCCAAAAAGATTTTGTTCCCGTTCCACAGCGGGGAAGGAGCGTTGACTAGCGTCGATCGGCATCGACTAGCCACGTTCAAATCGTGGCGACCCTTCGTCGAAGGAGAGACGGCTGCGAGGGTGACGGTTTGGCATGGCTTCACCCCCTCCAATCTTCCATTCGGAACCCCTGGAAATGTGCCCCTCGCACTGGGCCTCCCCTGCAGATGCACGGCATTATGCCAGGAACCCCTGTTTGCTCGACGCGTGCCCCGTGTCCCATAAAAACGGCTGCCACGCGCCCCCTTCCTTCGGACTTCGGCGGAATACGTTAACAGACTGGTAGTCGTCGGACGGTGGTTTGTCACTCCTTTTACAGAACGCTTGCGGAGATCGAGATGATAAATCTTTCTGGACAAGTTGTTATCGATTTCCAAGTGAAATGGGAACAAAATCGTACAATGGTGTAAACAACGGCTTTTTTTCAAAGAAAAATAGGTTAATCTATTGTCCGGATTGCTTTTTCGAGAACTATGAACACTCATATCGATCGTACTGCAATTTTGTTCTCATTTCGTACATTCTTCTTTAAAGATCGTCCTACTCAGAATTTTATACAACCAACATAAGAATACCCGGGGCAATCATTTAACAAAGAAGATTGGCTTTTATTGTTCGCAATTCTAGGGAAACTTTATTTTTTCCGGTAGGGCGGTCGAGGATGAAGAATGGCGTGCTGACTTAATGGAAATAACAAGCGCTGCTCAGGTCTGGCGAAATGAATTTTTATTCGAGTCACAGAAGAAATTTGGTGGGAAGAAAGGGCTGAGTCATAGTTGCATCGGTCCGGGTATTTAATATACATGTTTCGACGACACATCGATTCTCTTAGAAACGTCTCAGTCGCTGCGTGGCCTAATTACAGTTATAATAGAGGCATCGAGAAGGCGTTATCTGAACGACGCGACGCGACGCGGGTACCTATAACGCATTGATACGCGACGGCCAATGGACGTCCGATGCTAAATCCAGTTAACGAGGGTGCAACACGTCAAACAGAAATTCTCGATTAACAGGCGAAGGGAGCAAGGTCATCAGACAGAATACAATTAACACGGGAGGCTCCCTTCTCATTCGCTACTCTAATTAAATCTCACGTTGCAATTTAATAACGCTGGAAATCCTCTCTTCCCTTTTATTCTGTTTACCGCGATACAATCCATCGAACGGTTTCACGAGACAGACGTGTCGATTAGCGTAATAAAGGAAGGAGTTGGGCGGGGAAGCACGGTAGAAAAAAGGGGGAGTATCGCTGGCTAAGGATAGGTATCGACAGGCTGAAGAAAATTAATTCATTTCCAGTTCACGACTTAAGAATGGGATAATTGAAGATCGATAAAAGAGGTCGTGTTTCGCGTGAAACTGAAATGCACCTTACGGTTGACTGGCAATTTTAAAGCAATAGTGAATTTCGTAAAAATATATCACACAGATCACCGGTCGTAAAATGTGGTAGGAATGCGAGTTATTGCTCGGCTCGAAGCGCAGTTCTATTGTGCATGTTATGCGTTACCTAGTTCGATATACAGATGTATGGATACAAAAGAGATGTTGGTCAGCAAGATTCGCCATATGATCGGTTTCGTTTAAAGGACGGGTTCTTTCAAAGTATAATTGGATTCGTGGTATTGAAATATCATTCCTTTACCTTACATCACACTTAATAATATTAGCAATGTTGCAAATGTTTAAACTACGTTTCTAAGTTCAAAGCTCATTCGTGCATTCACTGGTGAAATTAAACATTTTAATTTGTTCACCTATTCTGCGCAATTCGTGAGTATTCGTACATATTATACACCAGGCATGTCCACGGGAGTGCTTCAGTATCCTTTTGCTCGATGACGATTGCTGTTGATATTATGTATGGTGAACCGGAACGCGCGCGTTGGTTTCTGAAGCCGCCTTGTAATTGCGATTTCGCCCGTGGCCCGTGGTAGTTCGACCTCGCGGTCGAATGCAAGGCCGTTCGCGAAGTGAACAAATGACACGCGTACATTCGTACTGAATGAGTTCATTCATAGTTTACGTCGAGATACAGTAGTCTCCGGATATGTATGGTCACCGATCGGGACCGGATTACAATCGCTCGTCATTCGAGCATACACCATGGGTAAAAGTAAATGATAGACTGTGTGAGCGAGACGATAATAAAGGAACAACGGCAGGTAGGTATATTAGTAATACTAGTGGCACTAGTGATAATGGTCGATGGCTAGAACTGCTCTTTCACAGTGATTCGTGATTGCTTCAGATTCTTTAAAAATCTGTCACTTGCGCGCCTCACATAGGCCATGCACATTTAAAATAGTAAATTATAAGAAAGTGAATAATTTTATCTTTCGAAATAAATAGTAAATTTTTAGAAATTATATCGGATATTTTAAAAATCAAAATTTATTTCCAATTGCTTTAACAGATATTAATAAGGCTATTATAGCAAATCCACTCACTGTACCAAATCGCGATCACGGTCGTGATTGACTATAATCGCGGGTCATGAACGTGATTTTTTTATCACCGTGAGAAATCACGGTTCGTGATTTTTAACAACATCTCCATGTACCAGTAAGCCACATAATGTCACAGTGCTCGTCTATTATCAACCACTAACACAACTTTACAACTCTCCGCTCCATGATCGGCTTATCACTCTATTCGGGAGCCAGCCTCAAAACAGCGATTTGGACATGCCTGTAATGCGCTATGCAATTTCTGTGGCATTCAGCGTAAATCTATCTTACTTCCAATGCTATTAAATGGTCCTCGGTTTTGAACTGTGTCTCTGGTATCGACAACGACGATTACGTCCATGCACTCGTTGACTTCTTTCTTCTACTTTCGATTATTTTACCTATAATTCGAATCTTAAGTCGGTCTTGCGATATCCTCGCTTCCCAGCTCGTAAAGAGCAGTCGAGTTCAATTCTTGGGTGTTCCTACGAAACGTGGAACCGAAACTGATTTCATAAAGTGCACCTGGCTCACCCACGTGTCGCCTTCGCGAGAAATTCACGCTACGATTGCCATTCCTCTCCGCCCTTCGTGCCCTCGTCGACAGGCAACAGCAAAGATATTCGTTGAATCTATAAGTAAAATCTTTATTATGCGGAATAGATGGAACGGTCCGAGCGCAAAGTGATTCTTCTACGGCGTGGGATATGATCTATTTTTAATCGAATATTTACAGAGAAAATGCTTCTTGAAACTCATTATCTTTCTTGTACTTGCCTTTTGCGAAATGTCCCGCTGACAAAGTAAAGAGCAATTGGATTGACGCAGCTGTTAACGAAACACAGGCAGAAACCAACAATCCTGAAGGCGTGCCAAAAGTCGTCATAGTCCGACTTTGAGGACGGGCAGAAGTGAAACCAGAGCATGAACACGTGATACGGTAGGAAGCAAATGAAGAAGATAATCACGAAAGCAATCACCATCTTCCCAACCTACCGATCACAAGGAACTATAGACAGACGGTTTAAACTGGGCGAATTGATTATCTATCAATATTAGTATAACTGAATACAAGATATGGACCACTCGAAGAGTCGAAAACATAATTAGACAGCATGTTTTCGTTTTCGCGTTTAAAATAGAAATTTGACATTTAACTTAGTTTTCGGGGAATACTATTTATAATTCAATGCCAATAAGATAAGTGCTGATGAAGAAAAACGTTATCGCGATAACCAGAGTATTTAAAAAGAAAGTTTAGGACAGAATGCAGATATTTTTACGGGTCACGAAAAATTAGAACGAGATAAGGAGTCGTTCGAGTAAATGGACCATTACGATTCGCGTGCAGTTCGCCCCCGTGTGAATTGGTCACAGATAGAGGTCGAATTGTATCTCGCCCAGGCGTTATTCTCAGCCGCTATCAGAAAACGATTTATCATTCGCGTTATTTATAGACTATGTAGTCGAGTACATTATTTTACTTATATATTTAAATCGCACTGAGTGATTGTAAGACGTTGACGGGATCGCAGATTATTCTGTGGATGTTAACCGATGCGACGAGTGATTCTCGTTATCGAAACGTATTGCGAAACGGTTGGGTGGATCCAACAAACGAGAACGCAGAAGAAGTAAGAGACGAGAACGCGAACAGTGAAACTTTCCTTGGTATCTTTCCTTGTCACGCTTCGATGCCACTTCTTTATCCAATGATTTGGAACGATTCGGAGCATTGAGTTGTCTGATCAGTTACTCGTGTATTAACGTTCCGATTTCAAAGTAAGTTTCACGAAAATGATATTATCTTTTGTCATAAAAAATAAAAGAAGCATAGTTCTACTGACGTGAAAGAAAGAAGATTTTCGAAATGAGAATTGTACAACTTGTTGGAAATTAATTTCCAGCTACATGAAACAACGTAAAAAGTTCTCTTTAAATTAGGTACGAACTTTCCGCGTAAGTGCTCTGCGAAGTGAAACGAAGTAAACGCAATAAAGCAGAAGGGTTGGCGTTGCTCGATAGCAGAAAGTTCTAGCGATCGGTGTATCGATGTAATTCAAGGCGATCGACCGTTGCTTTTCATTAGAAAACAATACGGCCAGTATAATAGGTAATAGGTTGCCCTCCGAGAGGTAGGTATACTGATTGAGAACGAGGACTCGCGGAAATGATGATTTATAATTACTCTTCTCTATTGGAAATTATAGAAGCAGTTCAACTTGACTCGATTCACGGGCGCTCGATCGGCCTATCAGTTTAACATGATATTGCATAACCCTTATTATAAATCATGCCAGGTTCACGTAAACAATTTACTTCGTAATTGTGTTTGCTGATGTTAATGACTCGAGTGACAAGCTAAAACGATAGCAATTATGTCTCGTGCATGTAAGTTTCGTAATGAACGCGTTGGAATAAATTTGTGCTGTCTTGACTGGTTCCGCATTGATTTTACCTACATATTTTAAATGAATAGTCGCTGACTTTTGATACCTTTTTACGTGCTCTGATTTGCTCTACGCGACTGCACACGGTAGACATCTCGCCGGGCATGTTTCTGGTAGACAGTTCAAGATGCCGTGCCATTCCCAAATAGAATCCACTTATTACACAGAACGGTATCGCGTAGTAAACCAGAAACTTGAACATCACCATTCCTCTTTGATAGCCTTCACCTGCGATTCATGATGAGAAATGCACAACTGAATGCTATACGATGCTTCGAGCGTTGTAAAAGTGTTGGCTCTCAACGGGGAACAGAACTTTGGGCAACCTAACGTTCCGTACTCACCGAACTCCTTAGGGAACGGACTACAAATCTCGATAGTTTGGTTATTTTGTAACGATATGCTTGGCACGTAAGAGAAAAGAGCAGCAGGCATCGCCAGAACAATCGCCAAGACCCAAATAAGGATGGCTATTAGTATTGTTAATGGTTTTGCGCTCAAACCGGCTACGTGGCGACGAATTGGGTTCACAATCGCACAATACCTACGATACATACAATAAGAGAGAATATTTTCTTTTCGTTCTGTCTAAAACTAATCAATTAAGAAATTTGTGTCACGGTGTCTTTTAACTGATTTTTCTGCTAATTCTGATTCGATTACTTTAGTTTATTGTGTATATAATGTCAAACAACATTTTCAATGAAGTGAAGATCCGGTGGCGATTTGATTGCCGAACAACCGGTCGATCAGTCCGTTAATGGGTCAGAAGTTTGTCAAAGTCTCGATAGTTATCCTATCCGTGGACATGGACAACAATTTCCTCCTACCGTAACTGGGTTTGACAACTTACCTCTCGGCCGATAGCGCGGTCAGAGTGAAAACTGAGACGCCGATCGAAATATCCTTGGCGCACTCCGATAATTTGCAAACTTCTAGGCCCCACGGCCACGATTCGATCGTGTACAATAACGACGTGAATGGCACACATGTTATGATCACCTGAAACACGAAAAAATTCACCTTGTAAATATTTTCTCATCCACAAACGTCCTGCTAAATTCATTCTGTAAAATTCATTAACAGCCTTTTTGCCATGCTACGAAATCTGAAATAAAATCTAATTGTTTCAATTTTATGGTGTGAAAGAGAGAATTTACTGTGTTAAAAAGCATAAATTCGACAATCTCGATAGACCGAATAAAAGAATAAAAATTTAACGTCGAATTTGTGTGCACCAGTGAACGAGAAAATTAATAAAATGTTCATAACAGTCATATTGTTCCTCGAATCAATTGGAATTAAGTGATTATAACTTGTCAACGGCGAAACGTGTTCATTGTGTACTATAAAAGTTTGGTCCTTCAATATTTCACATCAATACATTTACATATGTATACATATACCTTCAACGAATTTCAAATATCCTTTCTCGTGAAAATTGTTCGTTTTATGAGAAATTAAATTCCATTTTAAGAGTAAATTATCGTTTGACGTTATTCTTCTTTGTCAGAAGCTGTACGCGCTGATAGCTATTACCAAATATTAAGAAATTGTGGATATTTTAATATTTGCTTAACTCAATACGACCATCTGGGTTGACATAGTTCCTTTTGTTCGTAATGATAGCAGATATTATACGAACGACACTTATGTCTGGTCGTCACGCAGTTATGAATTACACGTCTCATCAGACTTATTGGTGTGAAATGCAATAGATTTCCGTACAACGCGATTAATACGTTACACGTTACATGAATTCGCGTTATAGGATGTCGTACGAGAATTTCTCTCGGATAATACGAACAATTTATATTAAATGTACGGATACACTAGCATTTGGGTGAGAGTTCATTTCTTCCTCTGTCCAGCACTTTACGGAATATTACCAAATATGTCGGTCGCCGATGGAAGTTGGAAATAACTTATGAAACAGGAGAAGATACATTTACACTATATATTGTTTTGCTGTCGGAGAACAGCAACGCAACTTGCCGACTAATGATCTCAGATGCGTTTAGACAAGCCACAGAAGCCACTTCCGCAAGAAATGTCGTAAGTTACTTGCTAGTGTATCCGCATCTTGACATTTATACTCATATCGTAATATTATACGAATGACCCGTATCGAAGAACAAAACAGTTATGAAACAGAATACGTTACGCTCAACTAAAGCAGATTTTATTTTTAAATGCAGGGAATTTTTGTATTCTATTATTCAACGCGCTGTACGAGGAACCACTTCATACGAAAACAGTAGTCGCTATACCTTAGGCACGTTATAGGAATTCGCGTTGGAGGAACCCGCGTTATACTACATAAGCATTTATGGGCGAATTCAATATCGTTTTCCAACAGGAGATTCGCCATAACGATAACGAAACTTTAACAACGATTATTTTCAAATGTACGACGTAGCATCGACGTGCGTCCTACTCGAAATCGATGATGTAAAAAGAGGTACAGAAAACCTTGGCACTAGACACGGCAGATTTATCCGTCAGATACGACAGTTTGCATAAATCCGATATGACCAGATACAAATGACACTCTGGCTCGAGCAACATTTTTCGATTTACAGGAAATCGATCTGGAAAGAAGCTTCCTCCGGGCGAAGATCCTATTCTATTTACATATACGACAGATATTCATAAATTCGTGTACATTCACAGTTTCATGCTCACCGATTTTCTATCTGTCACAAATACTATGCTAATGCTTGAAAGTCGATGACGTTAACATTTGCCGTTTACAATTAATCACTGTCAGTTATATAACTGCAATTGCCAAAGCATGAAGGAAAATTTCATTTCACTTTCCTTCAAACTTTATTTGCAAGGCCGATCAAACAATATACAGAGAATTTACTAATTAATAGAGTCTAGTGGATTATCGGTAACATGCATGGTATGTAAATAAATCACTATAATGAGGAATTGCGTACAGAGATTATCCACAATCTACATTAATTGCAGTCAGTAATACGTATAATTTAATGCAGTGCAGTGTACAGTATTTGCGTCATGCAGCTGCGAACGTTCTATGAATTTCATGTATACATCATAAGACATAATTTAAAATATTATTTCCACGTCTAATCACTTGTACATCTCCATATATCATGCGCATTTTCCTCTACTTGTTCAAACAGCAATAAAACAGCTTTCGTTCTTCTTACCAACAGGTCTCCTAGAGCAAGAGATAGCACGTAAGTGTTTGGTACATTTCTCATGCTGGCGTGACGCAACAAGGTCAGAACCAGAATGCCATTTCCGGTTACACCCACCACCAGAATTAATAAGAATACCACAGGTACTATATACGTTTCGGGTCGTTGGTCGTACGGGACGTAGTCGTCGTCCTCCTCTTCGCCGTTCTCTGCGACGCTGGGAAACGACAACGTCCCATTCAATATCGTCGCCATCTGTAAAACAATGTAATCCGGTTTCTCTGTCACGAATCATCATCATGATTTATTTTCTTTTCTGTATATTAAATTCGAGAGTAGTCTCTTTTATGCGAACGTTCTCCATGGAAATTATTCGATTCTTCAAAATTAAGCAAACAGACGAATTCTTCTGTTCTACAACTATAAATCACGGACAGTACTGGGACCTGTTTGTTAATTGTAGCATTGCATGCTCCCATTCCCGCTCTCGAATCGAATGGATAACAATTGCTCAGCGAGATATGGACGCGTAATTGGTTTTCACCAATCGACCGATGACAAACTGAAAAATTGAAAGGTGATATTCATAAATGTATCCTGTGTCGACGCGAAAATACTGGCGATCAATGAACTAGCACTCAGCAATATTGTTTCATCGTGAACAATGAAGAGTAACCTTCAACATATTTTCAATAAACGCGTTTTTCATTTATCGAGAGTGTTCTAGCGGGAAGTAGTGAATTCGTCGACCGAAAATAAAACAAAAGAATCAAGCGTGTCGGAACAGTTCCAGTCCGGACCAGATGAATTGGTTTTATTTTTCGGTATGCACACATTACCCGGCCGGAGTTATGAGCACTTTAAAACGATTTCGTTTAGGCACAGTGCGCAGAAAATGGTCTGTAATGTTCAGCATAGATACGCGCCCGACGTAACGGATGTTAACGCGTCAAGCGTTGACGTTTGGCAAACAAAAAGTGAAGGAAAGAGTTACACAGTTCCGTTTGACAGACGAAAATATTTCTCTATTCCTTTTTTTTGTCACGTAGGGGGAAAAAGAAGCAAGTGGAGTTGCCATTCTGTCATGTAGGAACGATTTTCCTACAGTCGCTTTATCCATTGACACTTGCCGAGAAATTACATCTTGTAAACTGTGTCTTGACGTTTTAATATCATTCCTTGACAGCGGCGCGCAAATCCAATGTATATTCTTTAAAATAGAGGGGCGTGAAAGGACAGATAAAATGGATCTCGTCCGAGCGACAGGCGATATTTCATCGAAATATCAGCTTCTTGTAAAAATTCCTCTCGCTAAGCAACCTATCTCATCTTGTAGCTCATCTTGGATAAGGTCGATTATTATTCAAAATGGTTCTGTCTTTCGTTACATTTTAATTACACTTTCACTTTCATTATTCAAACAAAATGAATCAATGATTCTGGCTGTAGAACGGTGCAGGGAAGTATTCAGAGACTGGCATAATGCATATATCTCGAAACACTCTTTCAAATAGAAATATCTCACGTATTTACACGTGGAATGGATCTTTGCAGCGTAATGTAAAGACGAATGTATAGAAGAATGGAATTATGAATCCATACTTCTATTATGTTTCACGGTTTTATCTCTTTGTGTAGTATTTTGGATCATTTGCTTAGAATAATGAAACAATTTGAAAGTAATCTGTTTCGAAACTCGTCTATTATTCAAAAAAGCTACGAGCAGCAAGATTAAAGGGTTAAATAATTAAGTTGGCAGGCTCCCGAGGAAACTGTGAAGACGCCTGAGGAAGCGGAAGAGCACACAGGCTCGAAATTCGAGCTAAGCTTTAATTCAGTCAGATTTGAATTAGGGAAAAGTTGACACAGTTTAAAGTTTCACAGCGGGAATAAGATAGAGAGGCGTGCGACGGCCGTGCGTCTTTCTCCGGAAATGAGAGTGAAAAACGAGGCAGACTGTAAACGATAATAGCGTCCAGCTCGTGCAATGCACGTGTGTAACGAATTTAAAAGATAAGACATGTACATATACATATGTATGTATGTACGTACAAGAACGCAGCGGGCCGGAGTGTAATCTGCGTCGATGTTAGTCGCGTTAGAATTACAAATTGCGTATCCTTGCAATCTAAAGGCTCATCGTCCTAAGAAAGAAGAGGAGGTGTTCTGCGGAACTGAGTTTGAGGAACAATTCGACCGTGAAATGAAATTCTCATTATCTACGGACGATGTAATCAAGGTATATCTTAAGTTTTTATTTAAATTTCTTTCATTTTCGTTATTTACGTTCGATACAGATGCATATTCGAAAATATTCTACAACCGAAAATGGTGAAAATTGTCGCCATACGATCGTTTTTCATTTCAAGTCGCCCCTTTTGTCCAGGGAAACTTGCGTATCGATATCTGGCTGCCCGATAGCGAATCGCGGCACAATAAAAATTAATCAGATTGCTCCAGGTGCTATGTATAACCCTTTTGCCATTTTACATCGAAACGAACAGTGATGGCCTGAAACTCCATCGTGAATGTACTCGCTTTTAGAATATCAAACTGTGCGATTCACGAAAAAACAATTCTATATTTTTTTAAGGTAATCGTTAATAATATACACTGTTTATAAATTTCGCAGAAATATTTTACTCTCGGAGTAATAACCAAATATTTTTCATTATTAATATTAGTACAAATACTCGATGACTTTTCTTATGCTACAGTACCTTCGAGAGATAAAATTCTGATGCTGTATTGGCCGAATTCCTTTGTTCCCTATTTGACTCTTCAAAGGAATTGCTTTTCTCGGTGGTTTTATATGTGGTATATCCGACGCCGGTGAACGTGTGTTTAAATTTCACGTGCATCTTTCAGTAAGGCATGCATCCTCGTTCTTCTTGAGACTTTACGGGGTCACCTAAGTAACGATTCTTTCGACTGCGAAGTTATTGTACCACTTCGCTACGAGTCAGACGTGACACTTTTCAACGGAACAAATGTTTCGTTGTTTACATAAATTTGAAGTCGAAAGAAGATCATCTTCGTTTAAAGAAAAATAGTTAAGATTGTATGAGCCGTAAGATCTTTGCCAAAAGTTTAAAACGTGTAATAAAAAACTGTATCCAATATGCAGTGTTTTATTAATGTAATACCTAGTAACGGCTAAAATTTCAGTGTTTTGTCATTGTTTTTATGTAAGCGTTCGTAGAACCTCAAATACTTTCGATGTTCCTTTATCTTACACATTTGCTGTGATATTATGTCTCAAGCATCTCAAGAGTGACTTTGACGCGGCTCTACAGTTTCGTGAGTTTCGATATACGTTTCAACCTGTTCCCAGTGGCCCCTTATCCTATGTCGTAAAGGTTTATGGCGCTCTAATACGACCCACCTTGTCTCATGAATCACCGTAGATTTATATCCGAAGTTCATGAATGAGTTCGAACAGGAGACGGTACACGAACAGAATAACATATGCGACGTCTCGCATTAAAAGTGACCAACTGTAGTTCTCGAACAGACGGTGAAACATGTACAAGCTCTACAGTTAGACAGAAATAAAGGATATGAAACTTCATAGATCTATGATCGTGGATCAAATGAAAGAAGTATCGCTTCGCATTATATCTCTTTCGAGGATTTCAAACGTTCAGAATATAGATTGCATCCTTTCAATAAAATTTTTCAATTTAACATTTCCAAACTCGTCAATGGAACGGGCGTCGATCAATTTATAGCAGTCAGTAGATGTGCTATCTATCCTCTTTCATATGCTTTCAGTGTCGAAGGAAATTAAGATCTCGGAATTTCACTGACTACAGAAATATCTGCATCATTTAGTCAAAGCACGTTTATTAAAATTATATAAAAAGACTCTACCCTCGCGATTAAAATGAATTCGCAGAAATATTAAGCGACGCGACGCCTGTTAATTAACCATATAAAATAAATTGTCCTGCTATCTAAACGAGGTGAACTCGTCCAAAAAGATTCTGGTAATGGACGCCATGTGATACATAGCGTAGCGAAGTACAATTAAATGCAATTTTTAACGACAATAATCCTGGCTTTGTTCGTTGAAAGGGATATTATGGCTGCGGTGCTCAGATTTGACATGATAAAAATGCGTCTGTCATTTACATGCTCGGCGGAGGTAAGCCACGCGCGCGGTAAGCGGATTGAAACCAACGGCCGGTGAAGTTTTGGTCGAAAAATGGGCGGCATGAGCACGGCGACGATGTTTCAACAAGCAATTTTAATACGTCGCGCATATTCATATGCATTCAAATACAATCGAACAACACGAACAAGGAGCAAGCAAATGCTCTTTTCGAATTTCCCAATGGTTTTCCTTATTTTCTCTGAGAACTGCTGACATTTAGTATTAGTCTGAAAATATAATCAATGAATATTCGATCCCTATAAATGAGAAAAACTATGAGGTTTCAAGTCGTAGACATGACAGAAAACCGAGGGGTCTCCTAAAAGTGGGACTACCGAAGAAGAACGATGAACAAACTTTTGATGGGCACGAATGACTGTTAAAAGTCAACTCTGACAAGAGATCTCACTTGGAATTCCTTTCACGTCCTTTTACCGGCTATATACACACAGCATACATAGGCAACATTCCTACTTCTAGGGCGAATTATGATTCTCTCTCCACGTGAAGGGTAAAACTAAACAGATTCGAGCTATAGCAGTTACGTAAGCAGTACAGTAGTTACAGAAGACTAGTATTTTAAATAAAATGCTACAATAAAATACGACATCAGATTAATACTTATGGACTTAATGAGTTCCATATGTGCTTTATGGTCTCTAAAATCGCCTAACATCACATCATCTGAGAAACGCAGTTATAAAATATTTTCGTCGCGCATGAATGTTGAATATTTTTATCTGAAAAGAACTCTCGATACACGTCGCTTACGATGAAACGTAGCGTGGCTTTTAAATTATTTCAGACGACTGACCAGGCGTCAGGAATATGTATAACACTGCGCTAGCTTCATAATTTTTTAAGTCACCCAGTTTGCCGCGTAACTTATGCGAATGTTCGTGGAAAGCTTAACGAAGCGTCCGCTGAAACAGCGTTTACGTGGTTTAAGGCTTAGCAAAATGAAACGGAAATACCATTTTCGCGATGTAGATAAGAACGGATAGAGAAACGCGCTATGCGTTTGAGAATACGTCAAGAAAAAATTTGTGATTAACAGACGCACTAGAATGATTTCTATCCCCTACGGCAGTTTGATTTCACTCTACTTTCAAATTCGCTTCCGGCATCCCGACTGTAACGTGGAGAAGCTAGTTAATGATAAACTTTGTTGGGTCTTTGATGATCTCAAGAATCCAACTTTTCCAATTGACGGGAAAATTTCGCATCGAACTTCCAACTACCATCAACTACTGTACTAATGAGAAGGGTTTTACAAATGATGGTAAGAAGCAGTTGGAACATTCATTTTAATAGATGAATCATTTATTAGATGCTAATTTGAAGCATTTCGTGTCGTAGATGGGACATCGGCAAGGAAAATAAGTCTTCAGGGTTTCTGAGATTTCAGAATTCGTAAGATTTAAATCGAACTTCAATCTTTCGGTAACCATTCCAGTAAAATGAAAATTGTTCAGGCGAGTGATCCGAGAATTTATCAATCACGATGCAAACGTATCCGGATCTAACACGGTTTACAAGACGAAGGAATCTGTACGAGATTCATTCCAGCGAAATCTCCCACTTTCCTATCAATTTCAACGTCCCAAACGTTCTAAATTCGCTTGGCTACGATCTCGCTACTTTACGTTCGTCTACTGCTTCTGGACTGATCCTGCCGTCAAGTGCCACGTACATTCGTCATCATACGTACAGCTTCGTTATAGAACATATTTCCAATGTGGATTTTTAACAATAAAAGTCTAATAGAGACAGGAAAATCTTTTCACGTACTTTCGATTTAATATGATTTACAGTCCCATTGGGTACCTCCAACTTCCATTCAACGAGGTAGCATTGCGCCCCTTGACGATCATATTCGCACGCTTAAATGAATAAAAGCAGCTCTAAGTATGAAGTGGTTGATTCTTTATAAGAAATGACTCGTCTCGCAGGAGCTATTTCTCCTAATCATTGCAAAGACGTTGATTTTTAACGCTATTTACCTGATATGAATTTCTCTCAGGTTGAAAATCACGGAGCATGATGCATTTTGAAACGTTTACGATACTCCTCGTAAAAGTAACGCCCGCCTATTTTGTCTCCCCACGTTCCTCTAACGTATCGCTTCTTCATCTCTACGACGTCATCTAGCATTTGAATGCTCAAGGACGTGCATCAAAAACAGGAAGAAACGAGGGAGTAGCGTCAGTTGCAGTGCATGTAAGAAATGAAGATCTCTTGGCGAGTAAATTCAGCCAGTAATTTTGTATCTCAGTGTTACGGAAGGTCTTAGAAAATTAGGAAAGTTACTAAAACAACGAATCATCAGCGCTGCTGTAGAAAAGTTATAAATCGCGTCGTCAATTCATCGTTTGTGAAGAGCAGACACGACAGCGTGGTCGAGGAATTGCGTTATACCGTTGCCAGTGTACGATAGAGGACCTTAATTTATCGGTCCAGTGTTCCCAGTAATTCTATTCGGGAACAAGCGTCCGGTAATTAAAAAGGACGATACACTAATGTATTTGAGATGCAATAAAAAAAAAAATTCGCTTAACACCACACCGGTGAGTGCAGCAGAATGAAAAGGGACCATGCATCGTGTATCTAGAATTGGGCCAACCAATGATTCCAGAATGTAAACTCAATTACATACAATCTATTCATCGCGCCTGTATTTTTCTTTCAACACCGCTTTGAACTTGCGTTTCAAGACAAAGGAGGATGATTATTACACAGACGAGCAAATGTCAATTGATTACGATGGCTGATTTCGTTATTAACAGTAATAATCGTCCTTTGTATGACAAACGTCCCATGGCAATACGCGTCACTTAGACACAACTGCTAATCTAGGACGATATTCCGTATATATACACAAGATGGACAATTATCACATTTCTGATGTGTCTCTATATCGATTGCGTCTCGAACACGCCAGACCGCAGGCAAACGTGTGCGAATTACATTTTTCGATCGATCCAAGAAGTTCGCTATTCGATGCAAGACACGTATTGCGAGAACCTTATCTGAGGGATTAAAACTTCGTTCATGTTCCCATGGACGCACCGATTTTCGCTAGACCTGCAAAATCTTTATTCAACGAATGTACGCCGATATTGCAAGCCCTGGGGATCCGGACTTTGTATCGTCGTCCACAGACAACGGACTGACCTTCTTTGCATACGCAGAGGTTCTTTCAATGAACTTGCTACACGCGATTCCCTGTGCCGCAGAACGGTCTGATGGAAAAATTGCACGGTCCCAGCTGGGGATCAAACGCAGTTGACACGAGATAAACAGTGCAAGGAGATAGAAATATATTACGAAGAAAAACATTGATTCTTTCGCTTGATGGAAACTTCATCGATTTTTCATCGCTTGAAAGGATTTCGTGTCGCAGTTAATTAAACCCGACTCGAAGGACGTTACGATCCACGAGCGTGAATTCTTCTCACGATTACTAAAAATCGAAGTAACTACGATTTCTCTTAATTCATTAAACACACTCCCCAGCGTGTACACAGAGAACGAGGAAGGAAAAAAGATGTATGAAAAAAGAAATGGTTTTATATCCGTAATTTTAATTCGATGCTCAGAACGGCGGAAACAAAAATAACGAAATGGAGAAGAAGCCGAAGTAGCGAGAGAGAACATGCCGAAGCATGAAAACAATCTAGTCGTCCAGACATTTAATTAATCGACCATTTCCTTTGAATCCATTACCTTCTTCGACGATATAACATTTAACGTTCGCGACAAATTACACCCCTGAATGAATTTTTCCGTCGATCTCAGGTTACCTCTTTGAAACGGAG